TTCTGTTTTCTTGGGTGCAGTTAACCTTTTTGGGTTTGAGTCTTCCTTCTAGGCCCTTCTTCAGGGCTAGATATGTAGACAGATGTTGCTTAAATTTGGTTCATCATGGAATGTCCTATTTTCTTCATCTATTTGATAGAAAGTTTTGCTGGATATAGTAGTCTGGGTTATTATCTGTGGTTTCTTAAAGGACCTTCTGGGTTTGAGAAGTCAGGTGTTATTCTAGGTCTGTCTGTTATTTGTTCTTTTCCCCTTGGAGCTTTTAATGATCTTTGTTCTTTATGTTTAGTGTTTGATTACTATGTGCCAAGGACACTTTCTTTTCTGGTCCAGTCTATTTGGTATTCTGTATGCTTTTTGCACCTTGATAGGCATCTCCTACTTTAGGTTAGGGTAGTTTTCTATGATTTTGTTGAAAACATTTTCTGTGCCTTTGACCTGGATTTCTTCTCCTTCTTCTATTTCCATTACTCTTAGATTTGGTCTTTTTTACAGAGTCCCAGATTTCCTGGATGTTTTGTGCCAGGAGGGTTTATATTTAACATTTTCATTGATCTCAGAATCCATTTCTATCATGTCTTCCATGTCTGAGTTTCACTCTTATAATCCATGAGTGAGGCTTGCTTCGGAGGTCCTGTTTGAGTTGCTAAAGGCCATTTCTTGTGATGAGATTGGTGACTACTCCATATTTATAAAAGGCTATTTTGAAGTCCTTGCCTTGAGATGGGTTGCTGTTTAGTTTGGGTATTTTTTGTTCTTCTTCTCCTTCTTCTTCTTCTTCTCCTTCTTCTCCTCCTCCTCTTCTTCTTCTCCTTCTTTTCTTTTGCTTGTCTGTTTTTCATTCCTTTTTTTTTCTTGAGACATAAGGTGGTAAGAAAAAGAACAACATGAAGCTGGGCAGGTAAGGAGGTGGGAAGGTTCTGGGAGATGTTTGGGCAAAGGAGGAAATATGATCAAAATATATTTTGTGGAAAAAAACTTGTTTTGTTGATTTGATTGTTGTGTTTGTGGATTTGAATGTGGCCTGTATTAGGGATTATTTCATGAGTTGCTGAGGATCATCTGTTTATTCTCAACTACTGAATGGATATTCAGTTTTTATCTGTTAAGTACAGTTTAATTCTCAATTTTAGTTCATGTGACCTAGCTCCATGAATGGGAACAATGAATAGAACTACCATTATTGTATGGAATCTAGTCATTATTTATGGTTATTTGTGTATTATAAAATTGTGAACTCAATGTCCAGTGAACATGTACTTCCTTGTTATGTCTTCATAAATTGTTCCACTATAACAGAATGGCTCTATCTTTTTTTTTGGTTTTGAATTTAAATCTATTATTATATATCCAAGTAGTTGTTCCAGGCTTTTCTTTTTCCAGCACCTATTCACTTGATAGCTATTTCCATCCCTTGCCTACCAGTTTGCGAGTTTATTTACCAATGAGGTATATGTCTTGAGAACAGATAATTGGTTTCTTTGGAATAGTGATTTTATTTCCTTTATATTCAGAAGGTGGGGTAGTGTATATGGTAAGTGTATTTTATTTTTCTATTTTCTACATATTTTTTCCTTAGAGCAAATAATTTATTGATTGAGTCATATCCCAGCCTCCAACATCTATTTCTACATATTTTTAAATTGTTTATTTTTACATGTATACAATACGTCTTGATCATATTCACCTCTCGTTCCCCTTCCAACTACCCCCAGGACCTCCTTTTACAACTTCCTCCAAACTTAGTCTCTTGTTTGTTTTTACCCTCTAAGCACAATTAGTGCTGCCCATATGAACACAGGCACAGAGCCATCCACTGGGAAATGAAGAACCTACCAGTGTCCAAATTCCTCAAGAAATAGAATTCTTCCTCACCCTGCAGTCATCAGCTGCCAATAGCTTTAGCCTTTGGAGGCCCTTTTCCATCCATGCTAGAATTTTTAACTGGATTGCTCATACTACATAGGTCTTATGTGGGTAAACACAACTACTGTCAGTTCATGTGTAACAGGTCTCCTTTACCTTAGGAATGTAGCAAGTTAAATTCAGACTGGTTAGTGATTATCCCATCTTCAGGTACCTGAGAGATGGCTTGGTTTTAACAAGTTCTCAAGATGGCACCTGGATTTAAGGCTATAAACTTTCCCCAAGGGTAGGACTGTCGGTCTCTTAACCAGAGCCACCTGGCTTACCTTTTTGATGAATCTCTGCTTCCCCTCTCTCTACCAGAGAGGTGCACTGCTAGATACTTAGTTTACCCTTTTCAGCATATTGTCCATCTTTCCCTGCATACTTCAAACTGCTATCATCACCTTCATGGATTTCCAAGCTCTCTATTGGAGTATGATTTTCCTTATTACGACTCTTCTTTACAAAGTCACACGCAGGTAGCTTTTAGTCTGTCACATTGTCTCAAAGTTCTGCTCATGTTCTTTTAAAAGTAATGATGGTAAGCAACAAAAGCACTGAGATGCATCAGATTCAACTGCATACATTTACACATGTTCTAGCTGGCTAACTATAATGTCAATATTTACAAGTTAGAAATTACACAGTGCACCTAACATGGATTTAAAAGGGCAGAATCAAAGCCCTATTGCTTATAGGCAGTGTCCTTAATTCTGTTCATTTGCTTTCTCCTTCCCTCTTCCATTCCCCTCACCTTTCCCCTGCTACTGACTGGTTCAGATTTTGTTTCTAATGAACCAAGTATACTCACAGAACCCTTGTCTTAGTCTCTACTTCCTAAAGGTTCTAGTCAAATTTAAGAGAGCACTTTCAATGGATATATACCATCCATTCATTTCTCCTCCTCTATCACATACAAATCTAATTATCTTCCTTTCTTTGGTCCTTTTGGTTGAGTTCCTACTAGAAAATGCTACTACCACCTGTAGAGAATGATCTTATTTTTTTATCCAGGTCTAACCATGTTATAACTTAATGGCCTGCACACAGATGGCTTTCAACTCTTTAACTCTCAAAGCAAAGTTCTAAGTTAGGCATATTCCTATCTACAGACAAGGAAATCAATGGTTAGATCACACTGTTAGTAACTTCTAGAAAATCTGAGGCCACAAAAGTCTGTGCCTGTTCTAGTATAGCAAGTTATCATACAGTGACAGAATTCCTCCCAAGTCTGATAACACAGGAGCCTTTGGCAACAAATCACTCCCCATTAAGGAAGAGAAACCCAAGAGCTCTATCTTGGATTTACAGGGACATCAGCAAATGAGGAAGTAAAATCGAATGCCAGAGTTAGAAAGAAGCACAACCCTAAGAGTTAGGCTCTGTTGCCACGCATCCAAGAATAGGTTAGGCCAGCTTGTGCACGATCCCCATCACACAGAGGCAACACAGTTTGCTGCAGCCCCTAGAGGTTTCACAGTAGAACAGCCAAGGAAACATGCTACACAGACCATGAGAACTGTCTTCTTATCCAGGGTGTGTCTGAATGTAAACCTGAACCTTACCAGACTCACTTAAAAATTACTGTTCCTACCTGTCCTCTGAAAGAATTTAAGACACTGTAGAACGCAGGTGCAATGCCTGGCATGGAGCAGGTGCTTACTAGATGTAATCGTCTATTCTAACAATGAGAGTTTTGAAAGACTCAGAATGAAAACAAAGCTAGAATGACAGAGGCAAGAAAAATAACCTCATACTTTCATGACCTTACTTACAATGGGCTCAAGGAAGACAGCATCATTGTTTTAAGAAATCGCTACATGTGGTGATGAAATGAGTGGTTAAACGCTGACTCTGCATGTCAAACAGAGTACCAGGAGGCTATTAACAATGACAGTGACAATGGCGGTAGATTCGGTTTATCAGGGAGGGAGTGGTGTGCTTCAGTTTGAACATGTGAACACAGTTTGCACATTTTAGTATGAACATGGAGTTGAAACAACACAGGGGCAGGTGCTTTCCTTGAAACTCTGAGAATTACAAGTCCCTTCAAGGAGAAAGGACATTACTTCAACAGTCAGTGGGATCACAGACAACCACAAGGGAAGTACAAATGGTATTTGCCAACAATTATGAGGGGGTTCCCTCCACCGAGGCTTGTTCTCTTCTGTCTGGCCAACGAAACATTATTCTGAAGGAAACACCCTCTCCAGTTCATTGTTCACATTCCAGTACAATGATTTGAAGACTAAAAGGAAAAATGAATCTTACCCGACACTTCTCACAAATGATTTGCTTCCCCAAAGTTAATTCTCTCAAAGGAAAGTTCTGCCCTCTGTAGCTGCTAATGGGCCTCACACATTGTTTTAGTAACTGAGTATGTTCACATAATCTGATACATCCTTTAAAGATCCAAAGAGTTAACCTTCTCACTCATTGGCAAATTAGCAAGCAGAACATTGAACATTTTTCTGTTAATGAAGCACTCAGTTTGCTGGCTACTAACAAAGTGATTGAAACCTGAGATGCAGGTTTAGTGTTCACTACTGCAAATGCTTGGGCAGGAACACGTTTTGGACTTGGTGTTTTCTTGGCTACTGGGAGTTTTACACTTTATCACGATGCATTCTTGGCATGAGAGTTAAGTCTAAACATGAACTTCACTATTATTTCATGTACAATTTAAGCACATAGCTTGAAGACACTGTACACTGCATCTTTAGCGATACTGTCACGTGAGATGAGATACTCAACTTTCATCTCCTGGAGTCCAGTTGGCACTCCACACTTGTGTTAGGAACATTTAGTGTGCACTTCAGCACTAGGCACTGCTGTAACCGAGGGCAGCAGAACTGAAAGGCTGAGTATAACTGAGTGCAGCGCTCACTGCCTACATGACAAGAACCAAGGCAGGGTCACTCTCACGGGCTCAGGAACCCCCCTGCTGGCTGTTTCTGAAAAGGAGGTATAAATTCACTCACTGTCTAAGCTTTCAGGACAGAAAACTTTAGAGCCACCATTTTAAAACACAAATCAACAATATAGCATCAATACTGAAACACAGACATTAGTAAACTTACTCCACACATGGGTTATAGGCACTAATTTTCACTTTAATATGCAAATTTAAGCATTTACCCACAATGACTTCTGCTAAAGCATTCATCAGTAGGATCTTTGACAGAGTTTAGGTATCACAAGTAAATACAGAGGGCTATACTTTATGTATGGTGATCTTTGGCACATTTATCAGTTGGAAAATTTCAAAAGGCAATAAAAATTTCTCAGTGTTCTGCACATTCTTTTAATCTTCACATCAAAACATAAGGCCGCAAAAAGGCAAGCTGAAATTTTAGGATATGTGGAATATTTTAATACAGTTACACATATATATAGAACAGTGTGTTTGCAAATTTAAATAATATCTGAATGTACAGTGGCATGAATTCTTATCAAAGATAAATTCAAGTTCACTGTCTACCAGTTCTAAATGAATTTATACAGATTCCTAGAACTGATAAACAGAATGAGGCAAAAAAAAAAAAAAAAAAAAAAATTCAAGTGTAATGTCATCAAATAGCCTCCTCTTAACAGTCTTTTCTCCCCCCCTTTTTAAAAAAAATTTAAAACCTGTACATACATTTTTAGTTTTTAAAAAGTCTATTAAAAGGTAACATTTTATGTTAACCACTGATTTGTATAGTCTATAGTAATAAAACTAGATGTATGATATAAATATGTGTTGATTATGTACATATGTACGTTGACGATTTAAACAAGCAGACTCACTTACACATACCTGCGCATGTAGCACTGAGGGGTGCATACAACTCGCACCAGGACTGGCAGACAGTAGGACCTAGGCTCAAAAATCCAGCAAGAGCTGAGTAAGCAACTTAGTTGCCTTTGGTTTCATAAATCTGTCCATTTATGATCAAAACTAAATTTTTTGCGTATATTTATCTTTTAAAATAAAATTTATCTTCAAAATGAAGCTTTTCCAGTATTCCACTACTAGCAGTTAGATTACTTTGATATTTTTTGTCACTCCTCATCCCAGCTGAGGTTTATAGTTTTTTTATTTTTCAAAAGGCAAACACACCAAGTGTATCCAGGATCAAACTATATGCTGAGGGCTGGACGCTGCCACTCACCTATACAGGGCACACCCTGCACGGGGTGCTCAGGACTGGATGGATTAATGGCATTGCGCACATACAGCAGGTAGAAGGACTCCTGTGATATTCAAATCCTCTTTCCAGCAGTCAATCAACATTTGGCACATCGGGCCCTTCTGTAAGCCGCTTTGTTTTTAAGGAGCACAATGCTCACAATAAATTGCAATTATTTGGTGGGTTTCTTAAAATGCATTCATAATGAAGTTAGGAATCCACAACTGTTTCCCAAAGTGAGACTTCCATCGTCCGTTTTCTGATTAAATACATTCATTACCCAAGAAATAGCTCACGGTCCCACAGAAGTTTAAGTAACCTAAGTCTCTTTGCAGCTGCATCCCCGCTGCTGAGAAGGCAAATCTTAGAGCAAATGCGCACAATTCTCCAGAACTTGAATTTCCTTATAGTGTGATTTTGGCCAAATGCTGGTTTATAAACCTGGGTTTCTCTCTTAAAAATCTATATAAACACACCGTGTTTCTGTCTATAGATATCTTGAGCTTCATGAAAGCAACGATAAGAATCCCGCCAATTCCATTCCTTTAGTATAGTTCGTATTCTATGTACTGATTCTTGACATTGATGACAGTATCATCTGCAATATTAGCTTCCTTACTAAAGTTGCTCTTCATTTTTCTTCCAAGATGACATACTACCGATGTCACAAATCAGTACATGATTAAACATTACTAAGTAGCTTTTTGACTATCCACTCAGCAATAATAATGTCTCAATTGAGGAAAGACCTATTCTTGTCACTGTGTGTTTACCACTGTTATACAGAGCAAAGAGTTGCAATTTGTTGTACTTTGCCCATGTCAAGTAAGAGTTGTTTTATGTGGCGTTTAAGTTGGGGCAGTCTTGCAAGGGGATCTGGTGGCTCCAATTCCCCTGTGAAATCAAGCCAGCTTTCCAGAACTAGAAGAAAAAGAAAAACTGAGTTAATTGGCATTGACAAGAGCAGCCAGAAGATAATCAACCAGAAGGACGGAATGGAGACTGGAACACAGAGTTCGCCTCACTGTCTTCAGAGTGCCAGGGCCCTTACTCATCCCACCCACCGCAGTTCTGACCTTTCTGGGTAATCTTCATCTGCCATCTCAGACACTCTTCCCCTGAAATACAGGGACTGAACCCAGAGCAAGTGTTCCGCCACTGAGCTTCATACCCAGACTCATTCCCTGCCACCCTACGTGCACACACACACACACACACACGCACGCACACACACACACACACACACACACACACGCACGCACGCACGCACACATATGTAATATGCATAAATACGCATACACATTCAGTAGTATGTCTCACTCACTGTCTTCTGCACAGATCGTAACAGTTCCCTGTGCCTGCTCAAACTTTTCACTAAGTTTAGATAAGTCACGTGTACTTCATCTTTTCCATTGTGCGCCCTTGTTTCTGTGCAGGAACATGATCGTATGTGCATGTGGCAGTCAGAAGACAAACTGGATGTTGTTCCTCAGACACCACCCACCTTTTGTTGGAGACCAGGTCTCTCATTGGCCAGGACTGTTGCCAAGTATCTAGGTTGGATGGCCACGAGTGCCAGGGATCACTTGCCTCCCCCTCCCATCTCATCATTGGGATTACAGTTGGGGTTGTAAGTGCATGCCACCACACCTGGCTTTTATTTATATGGCTTCTAGGGATCAGGACTTAATTCTCGTACTTGCAAAGTAAGTGCTTTACCCTTGAGCCACATCTTCATTAACAAAGGAAAGGTGTGGCAATTTCTCAGAGTCCTTCCAGGATCACTACTTTAGTGAAACATTAAAAAAAAAAAAACAAAAAAAAAAACAAAAACACATGCAAGTGAGCTAAAATACTTCATAGAATTCAACCACATGTCCAATTTCCATTGGCTCTTTTAAAAACCTATGAAAATATATGGAATTGGCAAGACAGTTTCATTTCTTCAAAAATCCATACAAGACAAACTAACCCTATCTAATGCTATTAAAATCAAATACAAGATGCTTCTGAAGCAGGTATCCACTTCCTCTCTTAAGAGAGAGAAAGGCAGAAGTACAGTATGTCTAGCTTAGCACAATGGCATATTTACAGGGAGAGGTCTAAAGGGTGGAGGGAGGTCATGTCCTACAAGGTCAGGGCAAAACGGTTAAAGCAAAGGAAATGTGGGATTGAGATTCCTGGATTTCAATTTATTCTAGTTTCTCAAGTATAAAGTGGGGGTACTTTTCTGGCTCCTTTTCTATGTTTCTCTGTGATGATACAATTTACAAAGATGTGAGAGAAAATTATGGTTTACTTGCTTAACTTAAAGGAATTAATTTTACTTAATAAAAAATACAATCCAAAGTAGAAATAAATATGCTTATGAATATGATGACTTCAAAGAAAATATTCTTCAATGAAACTGACAAACACTCCCCAAACATTCTATATTGAACCAGGCATATGGGCAGTATTTAATAAATATCCATGTTAATAAAAGAGAAATGGACAAGAAACCACTACTAAGGATAATATTGCCATCTTGCATTGAGCCTATTATACCCTGCACATGCTAGATACAGCATAAAGGAAGAGACAGAGCAGGGCAGGCAGGTAGTGTGTCTGTAGCTTGCATCCTACAATTTAGCTCCATACAGCTTCTTCATAACAACACTACACACATGACAGTAGTTACACCTGGGCTTTTGGCGACATTACCATCTACTTCCTTTTCTATGAGGTCCATCCTGCTGGTGACTTCATTCTGCACGTTTTCTATGTGCGTGAGGAGGTTTAGCTGCCACTGAAGATGTGAGTCTCCTGGGCCCTCTGAGCCCTTTTTCTCATTATAAACAAACACTTTATTCCTGGAAGCTGGATTCTTCTCCAAAGGACCAATGGGAAAAACAGAGTAAAACAAAACACAGAGAACTGGATGAAATGCCATTTCCAAAGGGAAAGGTAGAGTAAAATGCCCCCCAGCCCCCCTTACATAGGCAGGTAGGTTAGCATTAGCTAGTCTGACTCGGAGAAGTGTTTGGATTCTCCTGCACACAATCAAATTCCATCTGGTGTTCTTCCAAGCTAAATGCATTGCTAGATTCCCTCCCCAACGCCTTCCAGAGTGTGCCCCACAGGAGAAAGTTTCAGTAAAAGTGCTAATAAACAAATGAAAACACTAATTCCATTCCATAACGGGGGTGACTAGCCATGTGAACCATTTCTTCCTTGATTAATTTTACCTGGTGACATAAATGGAGTGAAGGCAGAGCAGCCATGAGAAAACATCAAGTAAACTTTGAAAGACTGTTGGAAAAGTTCAGTTAATGACAGCCTGGCCTTTACTACTGTGGTTATACTGATGAGCCAATGGAAGGCAGGCATCTTTTAAAAACTTCAAAATGCACACTTTTAACACACACACACACACACACACACACACACACACACACACCAATCTGGATTTAGATTTTCCAAAGGAAATTGGTTTCATAGAAATATATGAATTTGACAAAATAATTTACAAGTTTAATGAAATATAAGCTTTCCAAATTCAATTATGAACTTCTGGTGATGATTCTGAAAGCCAGAATAATAAAGAACTAGTCTTAAAGTGGCCTTGCTAGTGGAGAATCAGCAAAGCATTGAGGCTCATTTCAATCTCAGCGCTGAGCCCGACAAACAGGAGATTTGTTTATAGACAGTTCCTGTATCAGGGGATTGACATGCAGTCAAATATGCTACAGATTAGGAAAGACAGAAAGGAAGAAAATTATGTCACCATATATACCAGAATGTTTACACACAAACTCATCTTTGCATATGACATGGCTCATTAATTTCTGGAGATATCTAAGTGTGCTTATGGACTTTAGGGTAGCAGCTGAATGGATTATCATAACAACTCAACGTTTACAGTGATAATGTTTTGTGGTGGAGAAAAGATAAAACAATCTATTTCTGTATTGGCAAAGCCCAAGGACTAGGTGCATTTAATGGATCAGATCATCCTCTGGTTCTATGGGAACCATTACCTTCTCTGACACTCCACACTCTTTTGCTGAGTACAGAAAATGGCTTTTATTTCCCATATGGAGTTCCCCATCTTCTTCAAAACTGCTAGCATCATCATCATCATCATCATCATCATTATCATCATCATCATCATCATCATCATCCGAGCTCCCAGGCTCTGTGAGAGACTGGCAGTCCTGACTAAAGCTTTGTGGCTTTTGATAGCTGTGTTCACTTGTTATGTAAGTTCCTTCCATTTTCAGGGGTGGTTCTTTGTGGTTCTGTATGTATTTCTTTCCCTCTGAGTTAGCTATGTCCTGAAGTGTCAGTTTTTTATCTGCTCCAGCTATCTGATCTTGGTCTTTTCTCTTCCCAGAACAAGCCCAGAGACGAAGGTCCGGATGATGTTTATTCCTTAAAACAAAAATGGAGAAATAACACTTCAGGAAAAGAATGGCAATAACCTAAAAATTGTAATAAATTTGGTAACCATGTGAGAAAGAGGTCAGGAACAAAGACAAAGTTTTTCTTAACTTGATTCCTTTAGTATTTTATCCAAAATCCAAGCTCTCTCAGTTTTAAAGAAATACTACTCAGAAAATCAATAATGAGCAATTTAATTCTGTTGATTAATGCCACTGTTTGATATACATATCTTTATCCTTTTCACAGTTACTATATGATGCATAAACTTTATGTGACCATATTTCATAACCTCTAGTCAATCAAAAGGAGCTGTCACTAGTCATGAGAAAAATACTACAACTAAACATATAAAAAGCAAATGTCTATTTCACTATAGCAATTGGAAATGCAATGTAATCTTGCTGACTTTTTCTATACATACAAACTTATAAAAATAAGGTTCTAGAGAGGTGGCCAGTAGCTGTGAGCACTTCCAGCTCTTGCAGAGGACCGGGTGGTTGTTTCCTGCATCATATCAGGTAGCCCACGACTGCCTAATCCCAGTTCCAGGGGACTCATGCTTTCTTCTGGCCCACACTTGATATATATACATACACGTGGGAGCTAATACATACAAACAGGGACAAATACTTCTGTGTATTTTATGTGTGTTTTTAAAAGTATGTTTAAAAATTTTTATACAAATAGGACTCCCCATACTTTTCCTTTTCCTAAACAGCACACAGGGGCATCCTGCCACACCGGTACACACAGACTTCATTCAGTCTTTACTGGATAAATGACATTTATTGCCAGTCTAGTACATCCCATTAATTCTCTGACAAATGTATGAATGTGCATCATTGCACACAAATGCAATATTGCACACAATACTGCAGTCAAATCAATTTCCAGATAAGGAACTGCAGAATAGAATATATTTTTATTTTAGCTACCATACAATTGGCTTCCAAAGAAAGTTTGTTATTCATACCCTGACTATGGTGTATAGTAATGCTCAAGCAAAGCAGGGCTCTGCCAGAATTTAGTTCAAGGCTACTCAAAAGGTATACCTCCTTCTAAAGTTTCAATGATGGCTATAAGTTAGTAATTTCTAGATGAGGCTCTAATTAGTTTTCTTTAAGTATGTATACCATTTATAATTCATTAGTTTATAATCTTTCATCTTTTAGACTTCTAGCAACTTAATATCCAGAAGATGGGCACTTAAAATTCTCTATCAGTAGAAGGCAGAGTAGGGAAAAACCTAGTTCTCTGGCTGCACGGTCTAGTGGAATGACCCTGTCAGGTTGGAGAGGTGACAGAACCCTCTGTCTGAGAACAGAGGCCTAGGGCTAGGCCAGGTTTACAGGCACACACCTATAATCCCAATTCAGGAGAAATTCAAGATCCAAGCCTACCTAAAAAGAATGATGGGTTCGGTGAACAAACAACGTACCAAGGCGGGCAGGCTCTAATCTAACCAGCAGGCAATGCTGGAGTCGCATCTTTTAGGGAAAGTAGCTGTGAAGATGGGCGTGTCTTCACTTAGGGATTGTGCTTTGGGATAGTGGGAATGGCTGGTCAGAGGCAGCAGGAAGAAGTGCACTGAAACAGGCTAGTGCTCTGCTTCATTCGTGTGGATGCTGCCATCAAGTACAAACAGTGGGCCCGAGGGAGAAGGGAGCCACAGACACAAAACGGTCCCGACAAGTCCCGGTGAAGCTGAGCCCTGGCTGAGACAACAGGGCAGGCAGAAGAGCAAGTCACAGGCACAGCACCCTCAAGAATCACCGGGGAGGACGTGGGGCCTCAGAATGCAAAAGGGAGGAAGAATGAGCAGAGATCCACTTTATATAGTGTGAAGGCTCCTCCTTTACTCTCGGAATAACTCTGACCTGGCATTGGAATGAAAGGAGAACAAGCCCTAAAAAATACCCAGACGTGTTACACAGAAGACCTGGGCTTCTTTCAAAGAGAACTGCCTGAGGCTAAAATTCCACTCTAAAATTTCCTGACGTAGTAGGATGTGAACCAGATGGACAGACCTTGTCATCCAGTTATTCATTTTTTCTCACTTTTAAAAAGTAGAGTTCTTTAAATATTTTGTCTGATGAAGTACTATTCATGGTAAAATACAAACTAATAGAAACGGGTTAATTTGCAGAAGCTAGTTAAAAGAAGCCTGAGCTAATAGGCCAAACAGTTTGTAATTAATATTAAGCCTCTGAGTGGTTATTTGGGAACAGGTAGGTGAGAGAGAAATGTTCAGTTACAGAAGGGCAGTATTCTCCCAAAATCTTCCCCCAATAAAAATAATAATTAAAAAAATCTACTTAAATCTGTTTCTTTTTTCAGTTTGTTTTTGTATTTATGGTTAACTGATGTTATGCTTTCATTTCTTAGATTTGTATTCAGGTCTGTAAGAATGGGACTGCAGAGATGGCTCGCTGGTTAAAAGCACCAGCTGCTTTTACAGAGGACCTGGGACCACATGGAGGGTCAGACCTGTGAGTAACTAGTTCCTGGGAATCAACCCTCTTCTTGCCTCTACAGGCATCATGCCCATGTGACACACATACACACAAAGCAGTCAGAGCACTCATACACTGTGCAGGGCAGTGTGTGACTCAGCTCACTTACTTTAGTATTCCAATCTTCAGCTGTAGCCCATGTAGTACTTTAGTCACACCATAGACATCAGCAAGCAGATGATGTGTGGAGACTATCTTTTTGGCATTGAGATGAGAATAATTTTCTTTTAAAAAAGACAACCCATACATTCTTCCGTCATTCAACCATTCTTTATCATAACGATATTTTGCACTCCATCTCTGACCTGCAGATGAAGTTGAAATTAAAATCACAAGGATCCTACTTCATCAGATCCTTCCCACTGATGGTTCTTAGTGAGTAAGACAAGGTCTACCGCTAAAAGTGGCCTCCAACTGCAGCAGACAGCATGCTGAGGAAAAGAAGAGAGGACAGGAGCCCCTTAGACTTTTGGTGTGCCTGACCATGAGAAGGAATTGCCACTAAGCATGTGGTCAGTGGCAGGTGACACCTGTCAAGGGAGTCCTGATGCACCACTTTCAATCTTTATTAACCATGCAGCATCCTCTGAGACGGCTGGCAGAGACCACAGGCCTTTCTTTCCCTAGCCTGCTCATGCCCAAAGGAAGCGAAGCTACAGTTGAGGAAGTAAGGACCCTGCCTTCATGACAGTGGCCTCACAAAACCCTACAATATCCTAGAGCTTGGCGCTAGTACAAATCAGACCCTTGAAATTAGATGCTCTTGTGTCTGTATAACTATGAGGTACATGCACAGTTCACATCAGTCATCTTTCCACAGTGTCTACAGATAGAAGGAATGTAATACAGTCAAGGTCTACATTTGTTATTGAAGACATAAAATAGCAAATGTCGATAAGCACAAACAATAAACATGTGCTTTCTTCTTTGTTTGCATGTGTGAGGTTATGCTTCTTTCCTATTTTTCACTTCAGTTTTTAAGACAGGATCTTTCATGGAATCTGTAGATCACTGATTCTGCTAGACTGGTTGGCCAACAAAGCCCAGAGGTACCATCTCTCTTCACTTCTACAATGCTGGGAATATGGGCATGCCCTGCTTTTACGTGGACACTAGAAATCAGAGGAGACACTAGTCCTCCTGCTTGAATGAAAGTACTTTACTTAGACATCTCCATATCCCTCTCTTGCTTCTTACAACTGTTCCCTTTATCTTTTCCTTGAGCATGGGAACAGTGCACTTGTCTAATAACTACTTATTTTATGCCTTGGTAGCTGACACTAGATTTTACATATAGAATGTGGTACTTAGCATAGAGGAAGGCATAACAAAGCAAGTACAAAGAATTCAGAGTTTCATTTCTGTCTGCCATTTAGGGGGTGCCTCTTTAGGCACAAACATGAGACTTCCCATACCTAACTGCTTCATTAGGGAAACAAAAGGTATAGACAACGCTCTAGGACCCCATTTATTCTCCAATAAACTAGGTATGTGGCACTACCCAAAGCTTCTTCAGACTCATCAGATAATGGACATTGGTCCACTCAAATCAGCAGAAACAGGCCCATCTAGAAATCACTGCATAGAAGTAGCTCAAAGCTGGCTACAAGGAGAAAGCCATGGCCTCCCTTTGGGTAAGGTGGTCAGTATGTCGACATGTCTACATAAACATGTTTGTGCAGGTGATTACTATGAAAGTCATGCTGTAACAGGCAAAGAGTGTCTTCAACCCACGCTATGGCAGAGGGTTCTAGCTAACCAAGAAGTGCAGGTGCTCTACACAGTGGCGTCCGCGTCACACAACCCACACGGGGCGGAGGGCCTCACCCGGAGGGTCCCGACAGATGTAGCAGACGTACTGCTCCGGAATGCTGTCCTCCAGGAGCCCCATGCACACACTGTGCTGCCAGCACAGGCACTCTTCACACTGCAGAGAACACAAGAGACCCATAGTGCTGGCTGAAAGGGCACCCTCAGACCAGGGCAGGCAAGGCAAGACACACATCGCCGCCTTCAAACTACTGGCCTGCTTTCTGGCACCGCCGGTTCAACACCTTTGTGTCACAAGGAAAAGTCATGAATTTTATCACTAAAATAGCCAACTATTTCAAGAACTTCTTTAATACCACATCTACTAAGACACACTTTACTAAACTACTTATGAGAAATTTCCCTTGTGTTTCCTACTGATTCATAGGCAATCAAATCCTAGAAACACTTATTGAAGCAAATCTGTACAATGTCTTTCCAATGACACTTAGGCTAATATTTATGGTAAAATTCTAAATTCACAGCACCTTTGAGAGTGCCATTGACAAGGAAGGTGGTTACTTTCTTCATTCCTGTAGCCAATGTCTCCTAATTTTCCTACATATCAACACAAATTCGGGCCATGCTTCCCTGATTTCTTAGACACCCTTCTTATGGAGAGTTTGATAACTCTTGCAACAAAATTCTCTTCTCTTTTGGAAATCCTGGACATTTGTGTTTCAACTCCCACTTTCCAAAGGTTAACTAGATTGTTGATTATTAAGTGTCAGCAAAAGCCATGCTGTAGTCAACCCTCAGTGTGGAGGAAAACCCACCTTAAAGTCCTTAAACATTTCAGTGTTAAGGCCTCAATATGTTATCAGATAGCCTACAAGTAGACGGTGGTACTCACAAACCAAGTATCTATTTCATTCAGTGCAGAACCTTCCTAGCCAGCACTGCTGGAATTGAAAGCATGACAATGTTAGAAACTACTGGTGAGGGATGACCAGGAAAAAAAAAAAAAAAAAAAAAAAAAAGCACTTTGGTGCACCTACACATGCCCAAGTGATCCACAACTGCAGGGCAGAGGCTGGCCAAGTACCTGGATCATGAAGCCATTCTCCTCATCCATTTCACAGATGCACCGTACAATCTCATTGATAGCATCATCTTCATCCTGAGACTCCTCAAAATTAGTGGAGTCAAAGTCTTGGTTGTACTCATCTCCACTCAGAAGCAGGCTCTCTGTGGAAGAGTCATCCAGAAACTCCACATCTGACAAGTCTGGAACACATGAAGGTGCATACCATTTCCAATGTCACTTCTCAGGGAGAAAGGAGCCATGTAAGTGTGTATAAGCATTTCAGCAACACAAACACATGGGAACTGAGTACCTGCCTCTTGACAAAGCCAGGTCACTTACACACTGCTCAAAGTAATACTATATAGCCACTACTCTTTTCTGCTCACAGAGGTCACAGCTAAGGCTGATACTTACACAGAAACTTACTAGTTTCTATACAGTTTGCAAACTTTTGATTGTATGTTCACAAATATTAGTTCCCCTTTTGGTTGTGAAAGAATGAGTTTTACTATAGAGATAATAATCTTTTAATCAACTATCATTGCCCTACATATGCCAAGCATTATACTGAGCCTTTACACACAACATATAATGGGGTTGAATTGTGCAGCCAGGTAGTGACAAAGGCAATTAAACATTGGCTGCATGGTGGTTCCCACATCTAATCTCAGCATTTGGGGGCTAAGGCAGAATGGTCAAGAGTTTGAGGTCATCCTGGACTACAGAGAAAGACACTTCCTGGATGGAATCATAATATTAGAATATATTTTAAACAATCCTACTAAAAGGAAGTAGCATGCAATTAACACAAACATACATGGACCAAATACTGGCATACACACTTAATAAATTAATCAGAGAATCTTGTTTAAATAATGGACTCACAGGTATCAAGCACATGTTTGGCTCAATTTGGGGGAGGAGCAATTGGGTCACTGGGTTGGAAGTTACATAAGACATACATACAATCAATGTTCCTCTTACACTATCACTTCTGAGCAGCTTTGTAAGACCTGCTCCCTTTAAACTGCTACCCCCTCAGCCATCTCTGCAATCTCCTGGGACAGGATTCTCCAAGGACAGCTCCCAGATCAGCATGCTGCCATCACCCGGAGATTTGTCCACAGAAGCTCTGAGGGCAAGGTGCTAATAATGTATTTTTAACAAGTTCTCCAGGTGGCTGTGCTGTACAATCATGCTAGAGAACCCTGCCTCTTCCTTTCTCCAAGCTCCAGTTAGAAAAACTGCTGGACCAAATGGACAAAAGTAACTGTGCATGCTGGTAAAGAGAGTGACTTTTTCTTAATCCTCTCCCTACCTCAAACTTTTGAAAATTAAGATTTTGAAAGCCACATATTGCCTATTTTAATAATAAAGGAAGAAAATGTCCTCCCCCTTAGAAGATGGGTCAGGCCTGGAAAGGAGTAGGTGGTTAGCAGGCCAAAGAACACATAACCTGGTATCTATCACCTAAGGTTCTCAGGCGGGCAGAAGTGAGCCTACTCCAAGGGTCCTACGCTTGACCCCTCCTCCTTTCTGCCTTCCTTGACTCTGGTCCCCATCGTGTGATACCAGTGTCTAAAGACAGGGGAGGTTTTCCTCCTATGGTGTACAGCACTGGAAGGAAGAAACAGTGTTGAACAGCCCCTACTGGCAGGACTAGACTTGCAGAGAACCCGACAGGCTGCACCCAGGGCTCCTTCAAGTAGACCCCTTGTCAGCATTGATATGATGTGCCTAATTCTTGATCATGTTTAAATCACTGTGAATACAGGTCCAAATCTTTTTGGTTATAGATGTGTATGGGACAGGAATTCAAATAATAATTTTGAAGACTATGACACAGAGACTTGATAGAAATTTTCACTAAATTTTATCTATAACACCACTGGATCCACACAGTTACTTAAACAAGCATTTGCCTATTGAACTATAAGATGTGGGTAATAATAGATGTTATTGGTTGGTAGTGAATAACATGTATTTAAGTCTAATGCTGGGATTTTCCGATAGGTTATATAATTACTTTCCATTGTGAGGCCTCCTTGAAGATCAACTTAAGAGGTATGCTTATTCTCAGACTCATACTGTGGACCTCAGGTCTTATTTTAGCCAATACACTGTCACACATACTTTCACCACTAAGATCAACCGACAGGATTGCCCTCGGGTACTGATAGGCTGTCGTTTTCTCCATGAATGTGCTTCGTGGAGCCAGCGAACTCCCAGAAGATCGAGTCAGTGGAGAAGAGCACCTTTCCAAGAAGTCTAGGGAACTGTCTTCATAATCTGAATAGTCTGCAACGTAAGAAGCAAAGACACATTAGTAACGTTTCAAGAGACCAGGAGTCACCACACGACATGGGGACACACAAAGCAAGCACACATCCACTTTCTGTCATCTCTGACCACTTAGATCCTTACCAGCTGACAAGAGCACACAGTGCAGACAGCTGGGACTTCTGGGATCTTCCTGGGAGGGTGCGGGGACAGGGAGGGGCATGGGTGGGAGGCAGGTGCTGGGAGCACTGGGCGCACGTGCTAAGTTCGTGCACTGGGGCAGTGTGGAGGAGGAGGACAGGCTGCACTGACAGCAGCTCAATGGCACATAGGGTGTTTTGTTTGTTGTTGTGTTTCTTCATGTTTAGGTTTTATTATATCCAACAGTCATTCACATGTTTTAAAGGAAAACAGGATGAGACATGGGTCCACTCACTTCTGCAAGAGCACTCCAGTAGTAGACAGAGCAGAAAGTGGAAGATACACGGAGAGAAGGGAAGATGGGCCACAGGCTGTAGACATGATCTACACAGAATGTGCGGCTGACTTGGGCTGGGAAGGGGACGAAGCAGAGGAAGCTGAGGAGGAGCATGAGGAGGAGCATGCAGTAACACCAGAGTGGAGACTGAGGACAGTGACAGGTGGCATCAGGGCGATGAGTCTGTGACGGGGCCAGGGAGTCAACAGGGAGTGGGGGGGGGGGTAAGAACAAACAGGCGGTCAGAAGGCAGGGTTTTTGTCTTAGATGGAGAAAACGACCTGGACACCATCCATGTGAACCTACAGAGGCAGAGGGCAGTGCTAAGAAAGGCCAGGGTTCCGAGAGAGAGAGAGAGAGAGAGAGGAGAGAGAGAGAGAGAGAGAGGGAGGGAGGCTCCGTTAGTGATGTGCAGACATGTGGGCAGAGGACTTTCACCTCCTGGATCTCTTCTCAGCTGAGTACGATGAGATGGGTCAGAGGGCAAACAGGTAGAAAGGGAAGTTTATGAGAGGGGCCACTAAGTTCAGGCTTCCGTGGACGCTCATGCCCTAACCCCTGGCACATGTAAACACTTAGCAACCAGGGTAAGGGAAATTTGAGTTGCAGGTAGAACTAAACTAGTGGCTGTCTGTAAAGCAGGGAACAGGCTACCTCTGTGGGCCCAGTGAAATCCTAGGGCCCTATTTAAAAATGAAAAAGGCAAAGGAGCAAGACTTGGATGGCTAATGCTCCTCCAAAGATGAGATGAGAAGACCAAAACCAAGACACAGAAACCTCTGGAAGCCAGACAGGGAAGGAGCATACACTATTTATGGATGATTCGCTGGAGCCTCCAAAAAGGAATCATGGCTTCAGCTTAGAGAATTATTTTGGATTTCCGACCTCCAATGTTTGAACATGGTTTGTAAACCACTGTCTAGGACGGCTTACACAGAAACAAGGCAGAACATATTAAGTACACTGTTCAAAGCAATAGTGCCCTGTCACCGGCAAAGGCGACATTTGCACCCAGAAGTCCTGGTAGACTGATTCCAGGAACCTCACTCTTAACTAATAATGTATAAGAGGGCGAGAATTTAAAGTGTGTGGAAACTGGAATGTCTGGTAAAGCCCATGTTTCTGTCCACCATCCCAGCATATAGGAAGTGGGAACACTGCCTAATGATGGAGGAATCTTTACATGACATGGCTTCACAGCAACTGAGCCATCTGCCTAACCCCATTTTATCATCTAGATAAGAATAGAAACAGACTATTACACTAAATACCTTGTCTAGCATTGCACAATGATAACCTCAGTTAATTCTAATGCTGTAAGGTGAAGTAGAAACGGCAGTAGCCCTTTCAGAGTAGAGGAAATATAAATGACCTGTCAAAGGTGACTCAGCTGTGTTATGCCCAGAAATGAAGCCCATAACCTACAGTGACTGCTCTCTGAGAAAAATGAAATGAAGTAGAGGCCAATAATGTAAGACTGAAGGAAATCACCGCTTGATGCTAAAAAGCAAACATAGTCGACACCTAATGGTCTATACTATGTTAGCACATAAACACAATGACAGCATTCTACAGCCCAAGCACATTCCCACTTCAATCCCCTCTGGCTACTAGGAAGAACGTCTTTTATGCGGCAAGGAGGGAGTGAGAGAGAATACCATTACTGCCCTTCTTTCAGGGCGGATTTCTTAACACTCCTGAGAACTATCATCGCGTCTCCAGACAGACACTCATGTGTGCGCCCTGTCACTTACACGGGATACACGTGTGCTTGCCTGTGAGCTCACTGAAGGGAACTCCTCCCACTGCAGTTGTGGGTTCTTGGCATCTCTAGCTCTGCTTCCCTGTGACCTCTAGGGCCTTCAGTGTCACAGTCACAAACACAAGGAGAGGCCTCCACAAAGGAAGAAAGCCTAAAACTTGTCAAATGTCATTCCTAAATCCCCAAATGGCAACTTACCATGCACACGGTGGACACAAGGCCAGTTTTATATCTGGAAAAGCAGTTCTGACAACAACCACCTATGCTAACCACTACTGCACGGGACTGAAAGAGCCACTTAAACAATGACTGCTTTCCTAATGCCATCTATACAAACAGATGAAGACAGGACGTTTCATTATAGCAAGAGACAACCGAAAACTTGTTCAAGGCAAGAATACAGTCTGGAACAATCGCCCAGGAAAAGGAAGCAAAATAAACAACCTAGCTTCACAGTTAAAATAAAAAACTAAGACTGCAATAGACTGTGCACGACTGGACCCGATTTTCGCTACCTGGTAGCTATATGAATTAAATAAATATCTGCTACATCAGCTGTAAGTGTAGCTATCAGGCTGCACTTCAAAGGATTAACATGATAAAATAATCCATACAAATGAAACCCTTAGATACTGTTTGGTGCAGAAAAATAAAGCAGTATATACAAAACACTACTGAATGGTAAACAGAATTAAATTCTCCCACTGTGCTAATGGCAGACTCAATTTACAAGTCTTACTCGGCAATAATGTGAACTGTTCAGCACTAAGTGACTTTAAAATTTCAGCCACTTGAAATATCTTACTTCCTGTTTAAAGACCACTCTTACTAATTATCTGAAAGTGTCACTTCTAAGATGAACACAAGCAACCCAGAAAAATTTTCCTTTATAATTAATATTGAAGATGTTGGTGATGACCAAAGTTAATAACTCTCTTCTATAAATAGCAAGGCTTCCATGAATCATCATTATTTGCTACAGCTCTGTGAACTAGGGCAATTATAGACCTAACTTTAAAATGTAAACAAAAGTAGAATTTTTTTTTGTTAAAAATATGTAAATATATGGACCAGAGAGATGACTCAGTGAGTAAATGTGAATGCTTGCTGCCACACCTGATGACCTGAGTTTGATTCATGCAACCCACAAGGTAGGAAGAAGGAACTGATTCCTGCAAGTTGTCCTTTGACCTACACACACATTTTAACATGCATGCATACAAATGAGTGTAAACAATATGAGAGATATGGCCATGTCTTCATCGCAGGAGATAGATCCCTGTATTAATTTTAAAAATGGCTTTCAATAGGCTCCTGAAGTGATGTCCAGTCCAGGGGCAGACTGTTCTGCAAAGCCTCTCTCCCCCAGCTCACAGACCCTCCCCGAACCCGCCTGCACTGCTTGCCTCCTTTCTCCTCTATCCCAGTTTCTCTGCCTTGTACTGAAAGATGGAGCACACCAGTGCACTGACAGAGCATCTGATGCACGCACACTTGTCACGGCCTGAGCCCTGAGCACTGAGGCCAGTTCATTCATCCAGCAGTCGCATTAGCAGGCTGACACTTATTCAGGGGCCCTGGTTAGTGATATTTCTTTATATGGCTGAGGTCATCCCAGGTTTGTATCCTACAGTGTTACATACACACAGACGGACAGGACAGCATGGGATCGGGTGGGGGAGGAGCGAGATAGACACGGGAATGCTGAGGATGCTCAGGATTCCCTGAGAGAGGTTTTAAAGCTTGTTAACCCCACTTTGAATCTGAATCTTCAAATTTACTCTGGCCATTTTAGAGTTAGAGAATGTGAAATGTCATATTCCATAGAAAACTTAAGATCTGTAGTAGAGAGAGCTAGAACCTGAAGAACACTGATTATCTATTATGATACCTTCTGCCAAAATGTATGTGTTAAATTAGCTTTTTTTGAAGGTTTACTGAATATCAAAGCAAATACCACTCTGGAAGCAAACTTAGGTCCTTACACTTGCAAGGCATAACATATACTGATTGAGCTAACATAACACCTCGGACCTGTCATCCACTCTTAAGTATAAGGTATAACTAATGCTATATATTTGTTTCTAATGCCTTATTTATAATTTATTGTTTTTAAATTTTCAGTCAAATTGCCTTTGGATGTAGAGGGTTTATCTACCATATTCTTTAGGTAGATATTTAGGAAGTTATACCCTGTCTTATTCTGGTGTTTAATAGTAGAAATATTTTTATTTTACTTTATTTATTTATTTTTAGAGGCAAGGTCTTACATCATAGCACACATTGCTCTAGAACTTAATGTGGACCTCACAGCTGTGTAAACCTTCCCTGTCCTACTCTGGTGTTTAATATTAGAAATATTTTTATTTCACTTTATTTATTTATTTATTTATTTATTTATTTATTTATTTATTTATTTTTAGAGGTAAGGTCTTATACCATAGCATACATTGCTCTAGAACTTACTATGTAGCCCAGACTGACCTCAAACTTGTGTAAATCTTCCTGCCTCAGCCTCCTGAGTTCTGGGACTACAGATGTGAGTCACCATTCGTGTTAGAAGTCTGAACATGCAAACTGAACTTCTTAGAACCTACAAGCAATCATACAAGGGAGTCAAAGCAATGAACTTACACAATAGTTAAGAATTTACCTCCTAATATGAATGCTACTACTACATATTTTAGTTTCTGTTATTTTGTTTTCTCATCCATACAAACTGTTTTGTAAGATCAATGTTTAGACTGATCACACATTTACAGTATGCTCTTCCTGTCTTCTGCATTTCACATGTTCCTTCTGTCACCGTTTTCCTTATGTTTTTAAGTGCATCTTCTAATGTTCCTTTACTCTGCTGGTACCAAATTCTGTCGGATTCTCTAAAATATTGTTTTCTCTTTTCTGCAAAGTGGATGTAAAGGACATTACAATTGTGGGTTTAGAATCACTCCTTCACTTTGGCTGTGCACAATTCACAGTGGGCGCAGAGCTTGCTGACCAAACATGAGGGGCTGAGTTCCAATCCCTGGCAGCCATATAAAATCCAGGCACCATAAAGCATGTGTGCAGCTCCACAGCTGGGATAGCAGAGATAACAGACAGATAGACAGCAGAGCTGACAGGCACATACCAGGGAATACTCAGGCAACTACTTTAGGTGAAATGGTAAGCTCTGGTTTCAGGTTCAGTGAAGGACCCTGAATATAAGAGAGAAAATAAGAGAGAACTACAGAAGATAGCATGTTGACCCCTGGCCTCCACACATGCATGGATGGGCAAGTACATGTGTACATGACTGTAGTGAGATATTCACTTTGTCCGCACACGCAATGGGGTGGGGACAGGGGTAGACATTACCCGGGGGAACTAGGTCTGAGGAGGGGGCTCTGAGAGCTCTCTTGCTTGCAGCACAGGGACGTGCAGCACGGAGAGCATCCGGAGGCATCCTTGGGACCAGGAACCTGCTGGTGTTCATCTGTCTATGATATAAGTTATTTCTCCCTGAATAAACATCTATTTGGCCTATTTGTTTCTCCTGATCTTTATTAAATCACAATACATGACTGCGCGCGCGCGCACACACACACACACACACACACACACACACACACACACACACCAAAGAAAGAAAGAAAAGAACATGTACACATATACATACACATACACAATGGGGGAAATAAACCTTCCTCATCACGTTAAAGGGTTTGTGGTTATAGTACTTACCCCACCGCAACACTGGAAATAAAAGTCGCCGCCAGCCAGTTGGGACTTAGTTTATAGGGCCAGATTGTGTGATTTTGGAAAGAGTGTCCGTTTTTAGCAGTGCGGCGGGTGCTCCCCATCCTCCACTTGGCGGGAAAGGAGCGTGGCGCGGTCTCAGAACTCCCTAGAGCACATCTCGGCATACTCACCATGCTGCTTTGATTTCTTCTTCTTCTTCTTTTTCTTTTTCTGCTTCGGTTTGTAGTGATCTCTGTCTCTCTTCTCTTTTCTCTCCTTGTCCTTGTCTTTCCTTTTACCTGCAACAGACAGAGGCGAACCCTTCAGTGGCCACGCGTGCTCCAGAGCCGCTCCTCTGTGCTCCCCTCAAAGCAGCGTTCATGTTTTCATCAGTGATTCCAGTCACCTGCCCAGAGTGGACGCATTCAATTAAACTGTTCGTGTCATGAGTCTGGAACTCTTGCTTAGCTTATTGGACTATAAGAGGGGATCTTCATTAGCAGTGTTGAAAAATCCCAACTCCTGACACCTTAAAGTTAACACAGACAGTAGTTAACATCTTTACATACGTAATAAACTAAAATTCCTACTATGTGCCAAGAAGTTAAGTCCCATAATTTAAAAAAGACCTCACTATGGAGAATCAGCAGTTCTATATACAATTTAATAAAGTTTAGAGAGTTATAAAAAGATGGATTTTTTGAGAAAAGAAAAATATACATAGCTCCTTCCATATTTAACTATCTCCCCTGTGTATACATGAATTTCATTCTATTGATTATTCTAAAAAGCATTCTTTTCTTTAATCATATCTACTTTAGAGAAGATGAATACATGTTTGAACAGTATATTAGAACATTGTACCTCAAGTTAAAACTGAACAGATGTTCTATAAGCTATTTTTCCAGTTTAGAACAGGCTAATGTACAATTTTTCAACTATTTTAAGCCAATTTTCAGTGACTACAGCTAGCTAACCTAAATAATACTTCATACTGTCAGCCATCACTTGCTGACTTGTGGTCATTACTCAACGTTAAGTAGAAAGCACAGTGGGAAAGTCAGTGACCGTCTAGCAAGGCACACTGAAGAAGAATGTATGCAAGAATGAGTATCTTAGCATATCACCCATTGCTCTGAGTCTCTGTGTTAGATGGAGGCTTGTTTTTAAACAGCTATCTATAGTTTTAACCAGAGATGTTAAGAAGCAAGTACTCAGAGGCGCCCACAGAACATGAGTGCAGCTGCACCCTGGACAGCAGGTGCCTTGGAGGCTGGCCAGGCTTAAGCACAGAAGCAGACGGTTTCGGCACAGTAAAGTGCCCTAGCAGGGAGGCAGACAGATGCTGTCCTCTCTGTCAAGCTTTCTAGTCTTTTGCTTAAAGATTACTTTCTGTCCATACCAAATGCAGTGGAGCTTTTTTCTTCCAATTTCACCTTTTTTTCTGTTTTCAATACTCCTGTGGGTTAGGAGGACAAGACATAGGTTAATCAGAAAGATAAAAGTATGGAACAGGTTTTTAAAATCATCACTGCTTGCAAAATTCTAAACAGAAATCTTCCCCTGCCTCCAGAAAGTCTGCACAATTTTATTACTTGAACCAGTAACCAAAACTTATTCAAGGAATATCTGTGTTCCCTCCTAGCATGTGGGTCAAAGCCTTAGCCTCTACAATGCATTGCTTGTATGACATGAGTATGTGGATTCTATCACCTTATTGTTAATATGAACAGGCATACCTACCACAATTCTTACAAGACTGTATGAAACAGAGCATGTAAAATGCTAAGGTCAGTGCCTGCTAAGCATGTTGTGTTACCTTCTCTTTTGGGGTGGGTAATTTGAGGTTACACTATTTCCTAAATAGCATAATAGGGCTCTAACCATGGAGAAGTTTTGAAAAGGCCCTTGGCCATCACTGAAGGCTGATACAGCACCACAACCTTAGGCAATCCAGAGGTATTGACCGCCTTTTGAATAGCTGGTCCATATTCCATTGCTGCTTCTGTGAAACCTACACACTGTTCAGACACTATTCAGAACATGCAAATGAAATGTTCACATTCATAGGTAAGTACACTGGCTTTCAATGACATGTAAGCTGATACTTGTCCTCTTGTTCCATAAAATCAAGCTATACATGTGAATTCCATCAGTTGTGTATCATCACATGAATCCCTTATTGCTGGGTTTAAAAGAAGAACCCAAACAGAACTATTTTCCTAATCATTTTTGGACTACATAAGTGTGAAGTGCAAAGATATACATACACATAAAATATACCATGCTAATGACATGTATTACCTAGCAGTCAAAATTAGAACTGAAATTATTGTACCTCAATAACTAACTAAAACAGATTTCCTTAATGAAGCTTCTCAACTTGGCCCAACATTTCTCAATGTCTTTTGTTTGTGCCGTGGGTTAATCTAAGACAAATACTCAGTATATAAAGTACATTTTATTATATTACATTTATTAGATTTCTTCTTCATTTTAAAAATCAATTTATACTAACTCTGTAACACATTTTATATTTTAACCAAGTATTTTACAAAGTTTAAGCATAAACCTGTAAAAATATCACTGGATTTAAGTGACAACAAGGCTCTAGGAAGTTTCACGTTAGTAAGAATATTGGTAATCACATTGATTGTGACAGATGAATAAAAGAGGCCACACAGCACAACTGAGCACAGTCACATTACCCCCATTTAGCAAGAGGATGGAACACATTGGTCAATTCCTTTAGCTGACTGCTGGAGCATGGAAACTGCAAATGGAGTGTGATTTTCCTCAACTGAGATAGCTAGCATGTGCAAACCATACACAGGGGAAAGTGCTGCTCAGGCCCTGATGGCAGACAACATGCAGAAGGGAAGCTAACAAGGGTCTGTCTCCTGTGTTCCCAATCTGGAATGCTGGATCTCCAAGTCAAAGACGTACAGGACTTAGGACTGCTTAGGATGAGAGAGAGATGTGAAAAGGACCATCAAATTGTCTACATTCTGGGAGTGCACATAGCGGAGCACAGATACTAATGGCAGCAGGCCAGCACTGCAGACCAAGGGATGGCATGCCAGAACACACAGCCATTCTGAGTAGTTCGAGGAAAGCAAGCTCCAGAGTGAGCCGGCTTCCTGCCTAAGGCTTCACAACAAAAGAACTGGGAAGTAGACACATAGATCTGCAACACTGGCAAACTTTTTAGAAATACATACAAATAGAAAAACAAAACACACCTTTCCTAGAAATCAACAGTAGTATACAATTGGTTTTATAAGCTATGATTGTTATTACACCATGTGCTACAATTTGCAAACCTAAATATTGGGACAATGATCTTTACGTTTTCTCAAGAGGACACTTTCTTCATAAAAAACAAAATAATATTCTTAGAGCCACTGTAGTGCAAGAACAAAGGCAAGGGCTTTCCTGACTCCAGTAAGAAAAACAGAAGCCTGGTCATTCTCCTACACACAAAACTTCAGAGTAAGGAGCACAAAGTTTTGCAGCCTCCAGAGTGCAACAAGAGGGAGGCCATGGACATGGTGTATGTTGTATGTGTAGGAGGGTGTGTGTGTGGGGGGCAGATAACAGAAAACACAGTTACAGCTTTGTTTTGAGCAGCACTGTAAAATAAACTCAGAAATAATTCTAAATGGCCGTTAAACAGCAAATGTCGAGCCAGCATCAACTACTGAGGCAGAAATGAATGACATGTGAATGGTGGCCACAGTCAGAGTGTGTAGATCCACTGCCATTCCCATTTAGAGTAGTGAGGGAGCCCACAAGTGACTCACTTTCCACCTGGAGTCTGTTCTGACTTATAAGATATTAGAGTTCAAGCTCGCTTGCTCCAGCCTCCTTGAGAGGCGTGAGAAAGTTCTGATTAAGCCCATGGAAAAGAGCATATTATCTAACAAGCTTTTGATGCCAGCTGTAGACACATAGATAGATAATGCAGTTGCTTGCTAGGACCCACACGACAGATAGTGAGCCTGGCTGCTCCTCAATTCAATCAAGGACAGTAGGGAGCTGGTTAACTGATTATGTTGCTCTTTGTTCTGCTTTGCCTTTAGTCTGTATACAAGCAGGTTTAAAAATAAACTTGGGGCTGTGTGATGTGATAAAAGGCATGGACCGGGAAGTCCTCCGGATTCTAATCCTGTGTTCTGTCTGTTTCTTTTATCTACCTTTTCTAAATTCCCATGCCCCCACTCAGGTAACCCAGCTGACTTGGAGCAGGCTCCAGGCTCCAATAGAGTAGCCTCAGACCCACATCTGGCTTTCTTGGTGGTAACAGATGCTATATTAACCCTTTGACTCTGGATGCATATCAACATAGGGAGAGAGCAAAGAGAAGTCCGGAATAACTTCAAAACAATGTACATCAGTCAGGTTTCTTGGTGGTAACAGATGCTATATTAACCCTTTGACTCTGGATGCATATCAACATAGGGAGAGAGCAAAGAGAAGTCCGGAATAACTTCAAAACAATGTACATCAGTCAGGTTATAATAGTACATGCCACAATCAGAGCACTCTGGAAGCTACGGCAAGAAACTGAGGCTTCCAAACCAGCTTAGGGGCACATCATGTTCCAAACTGCCAGGACTATGGACATAGTGACATTCTTTGTCAAAGAAACAAAACAACTTCTACACAATAGAATAATGCTAAGATAAAAAGCATGCAGACCACATAGAAGGTTCAATGAAAGTAAAACAAATGGACAGAATTTTACATAAAAATACAGCATAAATTGCAGTACTTTCCTCTAAAAGAAAAATTCAAAAGTCATAGAAATGAATAAAATCTTACCTTGTCCCATTCAAACACTGTGTGTGCACTATACCTTTGCTTGTTTTAAGCAATTACCTAGACTGCACTAACTTTATATATTGTTTGATTTATTAAAGCCACTGGAGATCAAAATAGCAAAGCAGCCATACTACGTAGCCACAGAAGCCAGGCAGTGTTGGCACACACCTTTAATCCCAGGACCGAGGATCAAGAGGTAGACAGATCTCAGAGTCAAAGATCATTCCGGAATACTGGAGAGCAAATCAGAACTCATGCCTTTAATCCCAGGATTTGGGAGATATAAAAGGTAGAGGCATTGAGTCTGAGAATTAGTCTCTAGCCATGCTGAGGAGAGCCAGGGCTTTGAATGAATCTGAGGAGCAGTGAAGTCAGGAGCAGTCTGAGGATCACCCCTTTGGTCTGCTTTACTATTCTGATCTCCAGCTTAGCGCTTGAACCCCACTATCAGTCTCTGGGTCTTTCATTTCTTGTGTTACACTGACAGAGGGAGGGAGACCCAGCCTAAATGTGGTTAACACCATTTCATGGGCTGGGTCTCGTTGAGTAAAGAGGAGAAAGCAAGCAGACACTTGCGTTCATCAATCTGTTTCCTGACTGTGAGTGTGGTATGATGAGCTGTCTTATGCTTCTGCCATTCTGACTTCTCATCTTGTAACCACTACAACTACAAGCCAAAGGAACATTTCTCCTTAAAACAAACACAAAATCTGCTGAGCACTGTGCTCACCCACACACATACCAATAACATCATTCCAGTCCCACAAACAGATCTACATCTGCAGGGTGGGCAGGAAAACACAGACTTCTCACTTTCTTTGGACATTATCTTGCTAACTTCAATTTCTGTGGATGGGAGGCAATGAATGAGAGACAAAGATTGATTCAGTCTCCAGTGCAAATCTAACCCTGGAAGGATTCCCCAAACAGAAAAACTAGAGCTCCTTTTACCAACATAGAATAGTCAACCAAAACTAGCCACAGCCAGCTACCACAGCTGCCCTCATAAACACCACCAAGGTTGCACAGAGTGGAATTACATGTGCATGGCTCTTAACTGCCCAGGACCAAACACTGACCAATCTGAATCCCCCTCATTTGCATGGCTGGTATCACCTGCTTAAAAGTGCAAGCATTGTGCTAACCCAGTGAACACACTTCTGAAGCGTACATCCCCTCCTACCCCACCCTGCAGGCCTGTGCTGCACACACTGGCTCGTGCGCTGCTCTTTGCTGCGGTGTCTTTCTACACTCATGCAAAGGGTGAACCCTTCACCAACGTACCTACATCCCACCAGACTCTCCAAACGGTGACTGCTAACATTGTAAGAGAGAAGAGAGTCTTCCCTTTGCCCATGTATAATGCAACATTATGAACAAAACCAAGAAGCCATGTAGCTAACAGACCTGCCACAAATTCACAAGGAAAACAAACTGGAGAGGACCAAGTTAATCTCCTGGTTAAATGCAAAATCATCGATTTTGACGAACAAACACTGCTTTGATGTTTAGAATATATAATATGGCTGACATTACATTAGATAAAAGACTGTGTGTGTGTGTGTGTGTGTGTGTGTGTATGTGTGTGTGTGTTCACTGCATATCTATACACCATATGTGTACTATACCCTTAAGAGGCCAGAATAAATTACAGATGGTTGTGAGCTGCCAAGTGGTTGCTGGGAATCAAACCAGGGTTCTCAGGAAGAGCAGCTAGGGCACTTAACTATCAAGCTATCACTCAAGCCCTACATGACACATATTTATGACATGCACTCATGTTGAATTGTATCTCAGTCTTATTACATTCAACTCAAATATGTATTTTAAGGAAGATATACATATCTTCACATACACATCAAAAAATCTTTTTCCTAATAGGTACATGTTATTATGACATGAAGATCATTCTCATATATTTAATGTATGAGGTCTTTACCAGGAAAACTTGCTTGAAAGGTCAATGATAACTCAGGAATCTTGTGCAAAAAGGAGAGTAAACTGAATTACTTTAAGATCAGGTTTAGATGAATATACAAAGACAATAGATCAGATCTGAGCAATCAAAAGCAATCTCTCAAAGCCTACAAATTCTCAGATGTGGGTATTTTTAAATTTTTGAATAAGGAAACATGTGTAAACCAATTCAAATCTTTACAGGAAAAATGGAATTTAAGTAAATATTACTTGAGAGTACTAACATTATTCCTTTGAAAGAAAGAACAAGTTAAAGGTGGCAGATTAAATTAAGTTAGTGATATTATTCTAGTGTGGAGCATGAATGAAACTGAGCAAGCCATATTCTGGCTTCATCCAAGAAGCCCATGCCATATTCTTTGGGATGATGTTGCTAAATACAATTATTCCAACACATTTGACTATATTTGTCTCCTGATTTAACTTGACTCTAAACTCTCATCAGCTAGTTCCAAATTAATAATTTACTTGGAAGAAGACAACTGAAAAGTACTATTTAACTTCTAATATATATATATATATATATATATATATATATATATATATATATATTCCTTTTGTGAACCTGTAAAATTATAAAATTTCTAAATAAAATGTTGCAACTATATATAATAAATATGTACCATGTCAGATTTAAGAGATCAACTTAATAAAAAATTACCACCACAATGTTTTTAGACCATAAGCAATAATATCACCTAAAAATGAGTTAAACATGAATGCTTTTATAGGCTGGAGTCCTCAAGAAACTTTATAATAAACTATATTTGGAAAGCATGGCCTGTCTCCAAGTATGGACTTACACTTATGATACAGGTAACATACTTAAGTTCAATCTAGATTCTACTTAGACTTAATTAAAGTCTACTGACACCTGTAAACCTAAGAAGTCATCCCCTGAAGTAGCTTCTTGCTTCATGAATTAGAATTTCTGCAATTGTACTTCACTAATAATTTCTAATAGTAAAAGTAAGCATTTAGTATTTATTTCCTGTTGCTGTTTTTGATACAGGGTTTTGCTTTGTAGCCTTAGATGGCCTAAAACTTTCGAGGTTGACATAGCTTGGTAGCTGGAATTTGCCAGCTTGCAGGAGTAGTAACACCACATACTGCACACATTAAAGAAAAAAAAAAAAAAAAAAGAGGGAGAAAAAACGGAGGAAGATGAAAATGACAAGGAGTATGTCCAGGAAATGGACAAAGAAAAGAATTTTAAAACAGAGAATTTCCATCCAACATCAAATACAAGTCCTTTGCAGAGGGATTCTATATGAATTCAAGTGGAGTGGAATTAGACATCAAATGTGCATGGCAGACTTGGAAACTAAGAACTTCCTTACCAGTGGCTGATGTGGCTCCTTTTCCATCACTCACTACTTTGGGGGAGGGACTTGTGAACACCTGTGTCTCCTCCTTTTCTTCCCTGGAACATTCACCACCAGGGCAGGAGGAGTCTGGGGCTCCAGATGCTGTCACTTCTGAACCACAACTTAAATCAAGAGGGAGACAAGGTCCCAGCTTCTGCACTGGTATAGGTGCAACAGCAGGAGCTATATAATATTAAAGGGAAAATGAAACTTAGCATTAATACAGAGAAAATGGCTCAGTTCATATCATTGTAGATCACTGGTATTTACACAGTGCCTGGCAAATAAAAAATAAGGCACCAGAGAGGTATCTGTAGAATACGTGAGGTGCTTCTAAGAGGCATTAAGAAGACAACTTAATGTTCAAGTAATTGCTGTTAGATATTTATCTTCCTTTATATTTGGCTCTAAAGGAAATCAATATACATTACCCTCTGGTCCTGAAGACTCTGGCTGATTCTGAGCACTGATGGAGAACACTTTCCCATCAGTGGCTGAAGAGGAAGAAGAAAGCTTTTCTAGAGAATCATCAGGCATGGGTAAGGTGGCTAACCGCTGAGATCTTCTTCTCCGCTCACTATGCTTGCAAGGTCTAGGGGGATTCACAGGCTGTGGAGGACCTAGAAAAAGATCTTCAATGTTCACGAAGCAGATACATACCAGGATCATCTTATAATATTTAAGGTGATAGTGGGGGGTGGGGAATGAGCCATACTCTGCCCTCTGGTGCGGCTATAACCACAAGAAATGGAACATTCCAGAGGCAAAGGCAAAAAAAATGTGCCCTCTTCTCTCTCTCTCCTCTCTCTCTCTCTCTCTCTCACACACACACACGCACGCAGACACACACACACACACACACACACACACACACACACACACACCGTTAATCAGAACTTCTAAAATCTAAAGCCTACGAAAACTCTGACAGTTACATGGAAAATTAATTTCCAGTAGCTCTCCCCTAGTGTGAGACTGGAGTTAGTTCTCCAACAGTGGATTCTTCATTTGCCTCCAGGAAAGTAATCTCTTTATAAGCAAAGCTGGGGGAGGCAGGCAGGAGGGAGCTGGGAGAAAGGGAGCAGGGAGTGGAACTCTTGCTACACAGCAAGGCAAGGCACTCTGAAGGGAAAAGGAAGGCAAGGGCACAGCAGACAGCTCCTGCAGACCTTACACAGTTGGTGCATTGCTTTCCTTCCCCAGGAGAAGCTACTGTAATAGACTATCCCATCCTTACTCTCCCACATGGACTTGGACAAATATAAATCAGGGGCCTGATTCATTCAAAAAATTGAACACAAACAAACTAAAGTGCTTATTGTGGCCAAATTAGATTTTAATTAGTACAACACTACTCTTGCCCTTGAATCTTTTCGTTTGTTTAAACGACTGTATCGCTTGTCTTTCATCAATGCTAACACAGACTTGGATTATTCCTTAGTGCTTGAGAGGTTCCTCCTTTACCCCGCACAGTAAACCTGGTAATGGCACAGAGTAGGTACGACCATACAGGGTAATACGTTACTGCTAATTTAGAGAGAAGTTTAAAGAGGCTGATGCTTTGAGTATTTAAGGATAGTCAATGATGAAAAATAAAGGAAAAAGACCAGATGATAATGGGAAAGGATCAAAAATAAATGTAACTTTTATGATACTGTGGTTATATTAATATATAAAAAAACAACCTCAAGATAAAATGCTTATTGGTGACATGATAATCTAATGACTATTACTGCTAGTCTTTCATAATGAAGTTTCAGAGAAAAGAATCTGTTTCCTTTGTTTCTGCCTATTTTTCAAACAATAAATTAAAAATTGATCAAATTTTGAAGTAGGTGGTTTAACGATAAATGTGAAAAATGACTGAAAAACAGGTTAATATGTTTGATAAAGCCTTCCAAATGCCAATATCATTATTCTGGGAACCACAATATAGAACGGCTCATAAGTAAGTATGCCATCCTCATTTCTTATTGAATAAAGGAACAAAAGTAAAATGTTAACTGGCTAGTGATGTTCCAGGTAAGTGTTTCAAATACAAAGCCCTGGGTCAACATAATTCTTATCTTTATTTGCCCAAATCCATGCTGAAAACAAAAAACCAAACAAAGCAAAAAACAACAACAACAAAAAAACAAACAAACAAACAAAAAAAAAAACCTTTTAAAAAGTAACAGTTGAAAGGTTAGGACCCAGCAGCAGACAAATCTCTCCTTTCACTAAGGATGAGACTGGATTCAATGTTGCCCCCTCGGTAAGGTAACATAGAATAAGTAAATAAAGTGCACTCAGAGAACCACCTGGCCACAAGAATGAGAACTTCAGTAAAACCATTCACCCAGGGTCCTCCCGGAGCTCTTTTTGCTTCCAGGGGGTATTTTGTTTGTTTGTTTTTTGTAATGAATCAGGCCTCGTATTATTAGTTGAGGAAGGTGAAAACTACAGTAGGGTTTGTGTCACTGGATGGCAGAGCTTAAGGAGCAGTACAGACTTGGGACAGTAAAGCAGTAAGAAATGTCCATGATTTCTACTCTCGCATTAGTTTTAAGCTTTCTCTGTCATATTCATTTCACTTCTGAGTTCGCAAAAAAGCAACTTCATAAAGAACAATACAACTGCAACAAGACTGCTTTGAATCTATCTTACAGAATAAGTAACTATTTGTAAAGTCTGTGCTCACTAGTTTTATTTATCACGGAAGAAAGCTGAGATACAAGCGTCAAATCCTTGGCTTGTATTAACTCTGGGGCAAGTGGTGACTTAGGGGCTTTTATACACCCAGAAGACTCTCCAGATTCATGTTTGCATTTCTTGCTGCGAGCCTTCCCTGAAGACAAAGTTGAGGATAACAGTGCAGGTTTCTGAGTGTTGGCAGAACTGCTAATGACAGCTTCATTTTTTTTCTGACTTTGAGGTTTAGGTGAAATCGCCTGAATAAATAATAAAAAATTGATATTTTTATTTTGGTTTCTTCATTTTTCTTCTTGTATTCTATTTTTGATTGTTATGCAACTTTAGTATCCAAAAAACATTGTTAAGCACATATAACATTTCTATTACAAATGAAAAACCAAAAAGAACCCCACAAATTATTAACTAAAAGTTGAATATGCTGTCTTTAAAGGGATACTGTCAACTATGAGGCTTTGTTTTTAATGCAGTATTAATTTGGAACTCCTCTCTCCTGAGGCTGTAATTGTCAATGGAATTAATAACAGTGAAGTAAACAAAAGAAGGTCTTCAGGTTTTAGAGCGCTGAAGGGATGCATTCAAACTTCTGCCTTTTGGAAGAGTTTTTATACTCTGTCATCAACTATGTGGCTGTCTCAGTTTCCCTTTAAAGAAAGATCTCAACAGGAAAACAATGACCAAATTAACAAAACGTTATCTTTAACTCGCTTTAGTGCTGAAAGCTAGTTTCATAAGCAAAATGCATCATGAAATCAGAGCCAACAGCAGTAGAGTTAAAAGACTAAAAACAATACAGAACAAGCAACAACTACAACAACAACAACATAAAAGAGATAAAGTGTAAGTTAAAACATTGGATTTAAAAACAAAATACGTCGCATTCTTAGATGAGTTTTTACCTTATTCCTGCCAACTGACACTTTTAAAATAATTAGAACTTTTGTCAGTTCGTTCATAAAGAACTTTTTATTCACATGGGAGAAAAATTTCCTGCACATGTAAAAATAAGTGTGAATGTATCTACTGTTAAAGACAACGGATCCACGTTCTGTCAGACTAGGGTGCCTACACTAGTTTCCTTGCTGATATCTACCATAAAACATGAGATACAAACTTCTAGAAATAGATATATGGCAAGCCACCATAAAGAGTAACGTCACTAGTCCTATGAATATCATGCCTGTCCCTAAGAAATCATTTAACTTCCACAATTTGGGGGAGGGGGAAGGTCATCTAATCTGTAATCTTCAGTTTTATAGAATAGGAAAGATAATGTTTAGGTGCCAAAAAAAAAAAAAAATTCTGTTCTCAGTAAAATAAAAGATACTCAGATTTTTGTGGGGAGAATTATATATTTGATATTAAGTGGGCATCACTGAATGTTCTGTAGATGGCATGCTAGGCGTCTGACATGAAAGGTCCTGTGTCCAGGGTCCCATTCATTCCACTTTCATTTTCTACTCTTGGTTTCTTCACTATACGTGTGCAAGTGGAACTATCATCTGAAAAAGAACTCCATGACTGGAAAGCATTCCTAAGCTTATCATAAAAGGTGTTGCCAGGAAAGTAATTAGAGCCATTACTTGTAAATAAACAATTTTATTGTTCATCTTCACATATGTGAGAGACATCACTACAGCATCCATTACTGTTGAGTTACAAAGTTATAAAACAAGATTTAAAACTTAAATTAATAACTTGGTAAGGTGCTTAATTTCTAAACAAGGACAAATTAACATATTTAAACCTTACTGAATTATTATGCATCAAGTGCAATTTTTATCCAAAAGTAAATAAAACATGACATTTCCCTAATACAATTAAGTAATCTATAACTAATAATCTGATAAAGGGGTTCAAGACCACATTCTGAATCTATAACTCCATCAGCACAGCAAATTGTGGCTGTAGGCCTGTTATCAATCTCTCGTAACTGGCATTGCAACTCCTTAGGATAACAGAAGTTAGCAACAATCAAAACTTCTCATTTTAGATCTCCTGCTAATACCAATTGAGATAAGAGCTTTATAACTCGGCTTTTTACTTTAGAAGTAAGGATAACATATGGAATAAGAATTAAAGAGTCTGGTTACAAAACATTTTCACACTGAAATCAACCTGAATGACATAATGAAAGAGGGAACAGCATGATGTTCCTTAAACTCTAGAACAGTTTACAAAAGTTCCATTAATTATTGTTGGTCTCTGTTACAAAACTGGCAAGGACTTTCAAAAGTTTTGAATTATGCAGTACTAATAGCCGAGTTGCTCTAACTTCCTCTTAACTGGTTACTGACCTCTAAACTAACTCCCACGTATAATAGGTAATTTTCACAATCACATTTACCTCACAGATTATGTGTAATGAAATATTGACATTGTAATGAATTTTCCAGAAATATTTTATTACCCAAGTCCCTGATATGTCACATTCTGAGTATATCTTAACAGCTGTGAGAGTACAAAATATTGTTATATCTGGGACCTTGAATATAGTCATACACAGTAAAAAAAAAAAGTTATTTAAAATTTGGTTGGTATACTGACAATAACGGCAAATACTTAACCGTTTGCTACTGATAAAAAACCAGAAAGTATGAGTCACTGACATACTGATCAATTAAGAGACCACTGATTTAATACAACATTAATACAGGCACCAAAAAACAATGTACTGCTTTCAAATCAGGCCTGAAAACACTGAAAAACTCAATACAATATCAATTAAATGTGGGCTATCCTTTAAAACACATATAGAGAAGAGCAAAAGATAATCATTTTAAAGTCTTCTTTATTAGGCCACTAATAAAGAAAATTAAGATAATACAAAAAGGATATATTGAAACTACATTAAGGCTCAGATTTTAAAACAGGAGAACCAAAGAAAACCAGTTATGGCTATTACTTTATCCGTACAGTGCCTAAGCAGCTAAGCCCTTGAGGGTGGAGAAGCATGCACAGCTCATTATGGACAGGCAGTGTGGGGACTCAAAGGTAGCCACAGCCAACTCTAGCAACTGCAACCTTCAGTGTTAAACTTCTCTATTAGGTGGTTTAAGACAGACCCTTAAAAGTTTTTTTTTTTTAATTCTCTTTTTTACTGTAGTTATTAAAATATACATCCTAGCAAAAATGTATGGCTCATTGATCAAGTCGTAAAACACAGTCTAACAACACCAACTGTTACAATATAAAAAAAAACTTCTTATAAAAGAAGTTTAATTAGATGTCAAAAACCCTGTTTAAACTCACAAATGAAAAGTATTTGTGTAAGGGTCTTTTTGAAAGCTAAAGGTGTCCAGCTGGAAGCTCATACCCTGGGATGCCTGTCTCCAAGCCTTCTAAATTTGGAGACGATGGCTTTAACATCAGTCTATGGAAAACATAAGCTAATGAAGTCCACAGTTAATCTGCATACTCGGGAGAAGGCAGAGTTAAAAATCAATCATTAGTGAGACAGTGCTCTAGCCCCGTATGTGGTCAGAGGGACAACTACAATCACGTGGGTACTACAGCTCCGCGACCACTCATTCCAGTGGGGCCTTGAAACAATCAAATGCTACCATTTCATACCTGCTCCAGGACTGGAGCTGTTGCAATGTAGTCTTCTTTTCTTTCAGCACCATCTACCCCAACAGCTTTGGATGCCAACAAACCTTGAGAAAAATTGTACAGAAATGGCTTGTTAGGAAAAAAAAATACTAATTTCACCATAATAAACTTCTAAAATTTTGGCACTTGAAATTTCCCATTTATAGGAAGGATTTTCAAATGCTAACTTTTAAAAATACAAACACCCTTAACAATTAAGTGTAAGACTTTTTTTAAACTAGTTTTGAGATGCTTAAATACAATTACTTATTATGGGAAAAAATTTCTGGCTTCAAAGTCCAGATTAAAATGTTTTATGTTGAAAATACTCAGAGCAGAGCATCATTCTGTCATCTTACTCATTTTTAAAAGTATTCCTAATTTTTTTTGTTTTGTTTTGTTTTTCTAGACAAGGTTTCTCTGTGTGGCTTTGTAGACTGGGCTGGGCTGAACTCCAACTCACAGAGATCTGCCTGCCTCTGCCTCCTGAGCACTGAGATTAAAGGCATACACCACCAGTGCCCAGCATGTATCCTTAAATTTTAATTTCAAACTAAAGTTTTTAACTTAAGTTTTGCACATTTATATCAATGCTCATTTATGTCTTATTTTCTTATAGAAGTTTCAAAACCATGTCATGGACCCATTTTAAATGAAAGAGGAAGAATGTGTAGGTCATTTGAACATGTGGCCTGACAGCATCTACAAATGATGACACAATGGAAAGTTCTACCACTAATAGCTAATTTTAGAAGACAGAATTCTTTATGATATAGTTATTTTCAAACACCACCAAAATTCTGCCCTCATTAATAAAGCCATTCCATTGGATACAATTCTTTGATCATTCAGTCAGTACTTTCCATGAAACCCGAGTTATCAAGTTTTTATAAGGACAACTAATTGGCTTTATGCTTACTTTGTTCAGAAGAGGAAACTAAACATGCCATAGAAATTTTACCATCTTTATTACTGAAAATGTTAACATGACTCCAAGGGAGAGAAAAGATTCCCTGAAACACTACAGGTCAGAGAGCTATTCAAGGCAATGTGGCCTGGCTTTCTCAAGTAACTACCCGCAAAGTGTTAAGTAACCTAGATGGGAATGCTCATGTTCACCTGACCTCCCTAAAGTGGTAAGAGAAACACATGTGGCATCGGGTAGAAGACACACTGGCTTTACTGGCAAGTGAGATGTCCACAGCTGAGTATGAAACAGAGGCTCAGGAGAGAACAATGATTTCGATACATCAGTGACTCCACCTACGTTGAGACAACAATCCATATAGTTTCTCCCTGCCCCATATCACATAAATTATAGATTTAAGGGAGAAAGAAAGGCATCTAGACTATTTTATAAAGTTTAATTACACTGTAAACATTTTATATGAACACAAAGATCTGGTATAGAATATTTAACATTTAAAATAATATTTGCTGTCCCCCTCTCCCCCCAGCTAACATTCATGAGAATCAATGAGTTACTGAAGGTTTTGTTAAACAATACAGAATTTAGGTCTTTTTATGTCAGGAACTGAACAGAAGTTCTATTTTTTTAAGCTATTCAAACATGACTAATATTTGCCATTCAATATATTAAATAATTATACCTTATTCTGTTTCATTTCATAGAAGTGACAGAATAGTATTAAGAGATGAGATGAATTACAAGTTCAAATTTCAGAATATAGTACAAGTAGTAAAAGAAACAAAACAATCCATTCACAGCCTATTACAACAGTATAGACCAAACTGATTCAAAAGCCATTTCTATATAATTGTTGGGAAAATGGGAAGCCTTTGAATATGGCCATAGACAATAATGAAGTACTTTAACTACTTAAAATTAGATTTAAAAATTCACTAGCACCGAGATAATTCAAAGTCTCCAAATATACACAACAAAGCTCTGTATACTTGACACGCATGTCAACTTTAAAAAGAATGACTAAGCATAAACAATAAACAAAGGGGGACAAATGACAGAACAGGCACTTGAAGAGGAGAGTCTACTTGGGCCTGAAGAGAATGTCTACCAGTTATCGCTCCCTGCCAACATTCTAAGAACAAATTTAATTTCCAAAGGAAATGAGAATTTGAATGAAATCGAGACAAAAGAAATTAATTTTAATTACTGCAAATACTTATCAGTACATTACAAACAAGCCTTGCTCCAGAAGACTATCATAAAGAATGCAAGGTACAGCATCAAGACATTAAACAGTGGCTGGAGGTAGATTATCAGATCATCATGAATCCCAACAAAGTCACTCCGTGACAAACTACTTCACTGAGAATGAAGCAGGAGGCCAGAGCTCCCTGGAACACAAGGGGAAAAAGTGAACTAAATCCTGGCCAACTTTATGTGTCACCAGCAAATTTAAATCTGTTTTAAAAGTCCCTGACACTGCACAAACATTTCTTACTTTCAGCAATGCCTGCACTGCTTAGGGTACACATGTGCTCTATGGACTATTCTTTATTATTTGACCCTGTGCACAGTTGCTGTTTCCAAAGTTACTAAATCTCAATTTGCTTACAACTTGTTTCTAAAGTTATCCATTCTTACTTTCAGTGCAAAAACTGTCTACTTTAAATAAACATACATATGCCATATGATAGAACTGTCAATAAGGCACATTACATATTCACAATCATAACCAAGGAGAATGCACACATACTGAACCCAACTACAATTTCATTCTTCCTAGTTTCAAACTTTGAAAACCTCATCATTTTATCACTCTCCATACAGCAATCAGATTAGACTCACCATGGGAAGGGAAGGAAAACAAAACAGCGATTCATTACAGAGTTAAACTATTTCAGTTGCTGGTTCACTAATCTTCAGCTACAACTATTTTAAAAAGAGATAGAGTGGAATGGGAGAAAAGCAAACAAGAGCAAACTACCTTGATTCTTTCCCATTTCTCTCTAGTAAAGGGAAATAAAAAAGGCATACACAGAACGTGGTAAGTTTAAAATACAGCAAAAGTCCAACATGAATCTGCTATTCTTTACTAGTTCTTTCTTCTTTTTATGGATCACAAAGAAATTTATTGTACACAAGCAAACCTGGGGTTAGCCTACTGAGGACAACCTTAACACGTACTGTCTTTCTGCATGGCATATCTGTGACATGAAATCAAAAGTAGAAGCAGAGATGAACTGCTAAAAGGATTGTGATACATTTAAACCTTCTGAGTAAATAATGGGAAAAGACCCTAATGGCTTCACTTGGGTAAAGCTTTATGTGTTATTCTTGTTGCTAACCACCAGATTTGAAATTCCTAAGGAAAACTAAAGGAAAAGTCCCTTCAGAGATGGTCCAAAGCGTAACTTAATAAGCAGGGTTACAATCTGAGGCACAAGGTAAATGGTTCTTTTATCCTGACTACTGTCTGTCCTAGGTCATACAGAGATATTGCATCACTGTGGACTCAGCTGACTTCTGTTTCCATTTTGTTATTACTTTAAATGTTGAGCTTGCCCCTCCCACTAAGGCATTCAGAAGCAGGCTCGTGTGAAAGCATATTGGCTGAAACTAAAAGCAGGCTCTGTGGTTGAAGGAGAAAAGCCCATGACGCTGGGAAGCTGGCAATTAGCTGTGTCCTGTCAGTGGCATTTCCGGAAGTCTTCTTGGTCTTGCAGCCTCCAACAGTGTAGTTTCAATCTTTTTCTCACAGGACAGAGAAGCAGGTTTCCACTCTGCCTGCAAGTAGCACTGAGTTCTGTGTTTTAAGACACAACCGAAGTCTCAACTTGACAGCAGAACAATCAATTTAGAGAAGAGAAGATTCTGGCTTTCTCCAAGGCTAACAGCTTCTAAAGAAAAGGTTTCAGCAGGTGAAGTGATGGAAGATACTTCCTGTCCCGAGGGCAGGACAACCCATATCAGAGAAATTCATGAAGAACTATACACAAGTGGAACAAGCCAGATGCCCTCGGCGTAGAAAGAAACAAACCCCACTGAGCCCTGGCACAGAGCATTCACAAGAGCCCTTTCCTCCACCCACCTTTCAGGAGGTGGTCTCTTCTGAAACAGACACAAACATGCTGAATACTTGTCCTGGACCTAACAAAGAAGCTAATCATCTTCAAAGTGCTAAATGAATGCCAAAAAAGATTTATTTAGTTTTATTAGACCAAAGGCCCTTGAAAATATTTTGTACTTAAAAGTCCGATGTCTGAATCATTAAAATATTTAAGCTCCCGTGTGAAAGTGTACTTTAACCTTATTTCATTTAAATACTAGAAACATGTTAGTCTACCAGTGTCAGATGTAGCATGACTGGTCATAGACACAGTGCTTCAATTCCCTGTGAGCACTGGCCTGGCTAGGGTGGTCTGTTTTTCAGCATACCTACACTGCTATATGCTACCTTATAAAAAGGCACTCCAGAGACTAACCTCAAGAAGAAAAGCAGGAAATAACAAATGAGTCATGAACTTAATTTGTTCAGATATCCATACTTGAACCACAAATGGTTCCATTCTTAAGCTTTATCATCTGTAAGACTGTTTGCATGTAAGCCACCACAAGTGGGTAAGTGCTTATAACCTATTCCTACCGTGGAAGCGATTTCAAGACTCTAGTAACACTTGAGCCGACTGATCCCCACAACACCCCTGTGAGGTAGGTAAGAGATACCTGCTATTTTTCACATTTGTAACTGACAAAGCTGACAGTGTTGAGAGATGTTTACTTTGAAGAACCAGAAAAGTTCTTAACTCATTCCACTGAGCCAAAAGGTCCATTTTCCTTTATTAAAAAGAACCTACTCTAACATGAGCCCTTAGCCTCCCCCGCCAAAAGAATCATTGTAGTTTACCAGTGATCTTGTTAAGTCGTGCTCGCTTTGCCTGAAATGAGTTGCCTTGGTTATTTTTCCTCTTGTTTGTTACTGTGACCTCTGGCTGTGGAAAGACGATCTTTGGAACGCTGTCTATGTGAAGTCCTACTTTTAACAGAACACATATGTGAGAATTGGTTTGGAATCCAAAATTAAGACATACAATTAATAGCAAGTTAGTAAAAGTGCTTTACAAGTTAGTAAAAGAGCTCTGTATATTACTTTTTAAAATCTACTGCTTGATTATGACTTAAAAAAACACAAATCCCTCTGGATTGATACAATAGAAATAAAAGCTCCCTAAGTAGTTATTCTTGAAAGAAAGCTCAAAGAGAATAATTTCTTCTACGCCGCATACTGACACAGCACTATATCTTAAAAACTTAAACCAGAAATTACAAGAAAAACCTACTAACAAATATCAAATGATTTATACTCAAGAAAGCATCTTATCAATATTTGACAGTTACACTGAGATAATAAAATCAGTCTCTTAATTAATCTAGGAGCAGATAATTTAATTCTAAGTTCAAAATTATAGGTAACCAAGGGATTTGGGTTTATCTGCTACCTCAGTTTACCTATGTCACAAGAAAGGAAAATAAGAATGTATTTTATACCAGACGGTTCGCTAGATGTGGGTAGCTCCTCCTCCTTCTCAGTCTCTGCAGTGGCTATGCAAGCTGAAGTTTCTACCTTCTTTGAAGGCACTTTAAACCATTTCCCCCCATCTCTCTCTTTCTCTTTATTGCTGTTAGCACTGGTTCGAGGTTTAGTCACTGTTTTACTCTTCGCTGCAGCTGCAGCAGCTGCTTTAACTAAAGCAATCCAGTCCTCCAAAGGAAAAACATAAAACACGAAGTATTAAAAATCCAGCTTTAGCTTCACTAATAAAGAAAGCTGTGTTATATCGTGATAGTTACTCATACACATATGTAAATAGAAGGCTAACTCTATTTATGACTGAGCCTTTTAGTTTAATAAACTAATGGTTGACTTGAGCCGGAAATCCGTGGATAAAATGAGAAAATATTTAGAGGCATACAGTTCTAAGATATGATTTTATATAATTAAATAAAAAACAACTTACAAGGCCTACAGAAAACTTGAGTGCTATGTGACATGCAATTTCCGTGTTTCAGAGTTAAAAGTGGCATTACTTTTTTTTCCTACAATACAGTGGATAATGTAAGGAGAAAATTACATTAAGCTCTTATGAGTATTGAGAGAAATATATTATGACTGATCAAGCTACTGTTCCTTTTTAAGAGGCACATACCATTTGATTTATTGTTAACTTCTTAGATCAAACAAGAATTTATTTTTATTTTTTAAACATTTAAACTTTAGGATTAATTTATCACATCTTCATAATACTACTAAAGAAAATTTGTTAGTTGTAAAACTAATTTGTTTTTTAATGTATTTACCCTGTGTGGGTGTTGGGTGAGGGACACATATGCCATGGTATGCATGTGTTAAAAATTCATGGAAGTCCTTCTACCATGTGAGTTCCTGGGATCAAACTCAGCTCAAACTCAGGTCATCAGACATGGCAGCAAATATCTTTACTTGCTGAACCATCTCCCTGGCGCAAAATGAATCTTAGTATTTAATTTTTAACTCAAAATTCTTTACTGTGAAAGTATAAAACGGTGTTAGGGAGCATAAAGTGGTGCCATATTAAATTTTAGTAAGAAAATGTTTTTTAAATAAACATCTGCAATGTCTCCACAAAGTTAATCTTTCACTCATACCCTTAAGCACTGTCTAAACGGACAATAAAGTTCATCCAACATGCATAGTTCCTATTATAAGCAACTAAAATAATTTTAAAACAAAAAATGAATTTAATTAGCAGATTTCATGAATGAACATAAGCACTACAACAAATTTAAACAAAAAATATAGATGCTAACCATTCACCCCTGAAAATACATGGCGAAGACAAACAGGTTATCGTGAACAAATAACAAATGCGTCTTCAGCTATCCCGCCCCTCCATCACTGAAATGATCTGCAAATACCATGTCATCCACCTAACAAGTTTGTTTTCTTTTTCCCATTTTCTACTGAATGTTCCACAAGACAAGCCGGTATCAATCAAACACTAAAACACAATAGCTGATAAATGAGAAAGGTCTAGTCAGGGAATTTACAAGGCAATAAAATTAACCATAAGACAGTGTGACAGGGAAGGAATCAGTAAGGAAGGTCAAAAGTTCAAAGCTACCCTCAGCTATGTAGGAAATTCAAGGATGGTCCAAACTACCTGAGACCATCTTCAGAAAGAAAAGAAGAAAAGTAGGACATGACACAGGGAAATAAAGACCCCTGGAGACAACAGAGAAACTTATTCTGACTGAAAAGAAAAATGAATGGAAGGTTTCAGAGATAAGGGTGCAGGAGCTCTCTAGAGACAAAAATTGCCTGGGTAAATGGACAGCTGAAAAGGGGAAACGAGTCTTTCAAACAAGAGGAAAGAAGGCAGTGTGGGATGGGATGTATATGGAAGGAGTCAGGTGAAGAGGAAGTAGCTGGAGACTACTACAGCTCAAGGTGAGCTTCGAGGCACACAATGGAGTAGTGAGCAGAGTAAGTGCAGCCGCACCAGCAGCCCTCAGGCAGGGCCACGTGTTTACAAACGTGTTCAAACAAAGAAGTGCGACTCAAGGTGCCTCACTGTGCATGTTTGCCTTTGCAGTTGTCAGAGAAATGTCAGACAGTGTTGGGGTCACTTCCATCTAAAGTTGTTCTCTACCTTCAGAATAGATACAGCAGAAGGAGAATCGTGTGGCTTTCAAAATTTAAATGCTCAGAAAACGTTTTTAACTATAAATTGGTCATGTGGACATAGCCATGTGATTAAATATCTCCAGTGTCCTTCCTTTGAAGTTTTACATAAGAAAACTTCACTGTCAAAAACAATTGAGGATGTTTTTTTCCATGGGTCAGAACCAATGACATACCAAAATGCTCTGCAGCCAGTGCAGCAGAGCAGTGAATTAACAATGAATGCAGTTTTGAAACCAGAAAGTTAGGAGTCATTCTGCAAGTAATGGCGGAATGAAACTATACGTCAGTCATTCAATTCCCTGAGTTCTGAACTTCTCATTGTAAGCTTAAAAATATCAACCATGTTTATATGAAAAGATCTGCTAACACCAATAAAACAACAGATGCAAACTATCAGGAAGGGGAATTTCAAGGGACTTTAAAACCACTTATAAGCCAGTTGCACTTCTATACACGTAAACATCAGCACACTTGCAGGAACAATGAAGGAGATGTGAGGTTGTGGTTACAGGCTTTAAATTTAAAATAAACCCCTCAGTCTCTCACCTTGCTCTTACTGCTGCTGTGCTTAATAGTGGTGGAACATCAGGGAGACCAGCAAGTAGTTAAGACAGGATTACACTGAGTGTAAGAACCGAGCTCTACCCTGGGAAATGTCATAACTGTGCATCAACACTACCATCCCACTCAGTTATATAAAAGAAGGCAGAGACAGGGACAGGGCATCTTAGTTTAAGCAGGCAATCTGTCTACCATCCCATGTTTTTCAGTGAACAACAATGTCTACAAACAGCACAAAAAGGCTCACAGCTTATACTTCAACAAAAGCATTTCTAAAAGCTCTCTAAAGGGTCAAACTGTCTTCAAAATCCAGGTGGATTTTGAAGGTGGAACACAAGCAATTAGCTGTCTCAAAACCAGCAATAACTACATTAGGACTTTTATTTAAGTTTAAGAAAACGATTCCAGAAATTCATATATAAAATTGCTACGAAAGTCTCATCTTACACAATTCCTAGAGAGGGTTTAGGGGAGAAGTTTTCTACTATACATTTATTAAGTGTACAGAATAACTCTTTGCTAAGTTAGTAAAAGAAGTTTTACTTTATATATTCATATAGTCTCTAGAAAAGAATATTGGCTTTGTCTAGTCACCTGATCTGTTACACTTCCTAGATGAGGCAAACACCTAGTTGGGGAAAAACTCATAACTTATAAAAGTACTTAGTAAATATTTTTTTTAGTCTGCATGTAACTAAGAATTGTAAGGGGAATCAAACATTAAAAGGAAATAGGATGCCAACCAAGTACTCTTTAAAGTAGTTTTGCATTTTGGCATTGATCTTACTGTTAATGGTGTGGCTAAATTTGATGTCCAGTAAGTCTAGTACTTATAGCCTGTAACTAAATTGTCTCAAAGACAAAATAAGAGTGTCATTTCATGACACTGAATAACTACAGTTACAGAATCACAGTATTAAAGCCAAAGAAGGAACTGATTTAAAGTTATGGAGCCAAATATGCTCCCAGTATTTTAATGTCTCCCTATTCACACTGGATGTTTAGAATATTTTATTAATATGGATGCACAGGAGGACACACAGTGATTTACTGGTAGAAAGCACTTTCACTTTAAGTTGCACTTGCATATATGTAACCTTAATCATTTCAAAACTGATCACATTTTCCAGAATACTCAAAAATATTTACTCTAACTGTGGAATTAGACATTTGCAGACCATAAAATGTTCATACCCAACTGAAACTAACCATGTGATTTTTAACACACTTCAGAATAACATTTTTACTACATGGTATGGAAGAAATAGGGAACATATTTTCACATTAGACATTTTCATAGATTACTTTCAAGTTCTTAAATTAATTGTAGGTCCAGGTGCTGAAAATCCCAAATAACAGCAGAACATAAAAGAGAATAGTTTTTGTCTCTAATGGCACCTTTCTCTCCAATGACTGAGGAAACACACTCAGCAAATGGGGCATGGTTTCTATCTCCATCCCAGACTCTCCTCCATGCTCACCACCCCCTTCCTGCTCTGAGCAGGAGCAGAGCACAGAATGCACTGCTTGCATTATGCTGAGAGAGCCCTACCTCAAACAGCCTACAGAGTGTCAGGTAAGCGCCTTTTAAGGAAGGTGAATAGCCATGATTTGTAAAAGAAAAGAAGAAGGTAAGAAATTCATGTAAAATTTCATATTAAAAAATAGCTTTCTAAATGAGACTCTATATCAGATAAAACAAACAAAATTTAAAAGCAAAAAGGCACTTACCTCACTTCCCATAGACTGGTTACACGATCCAGCTGGGTCGATAGGACAACACCAGCTTAGTGGATGCTGGGATTTCACCTGGAACAGAAACTAGTGACCTATAACTTTAGCAGGTCTAAAACCAAAGAAGCAAAATCAAGTGTATAATTTATTTTACAGTCTAAGCTTCTCTTTGTTGCTGCTGTTTGGGGCTCTCAGCACATAACCCTACAATTAGTTCATTTAATAAAACACGGAGGTACGTATGTTGCACAAACACCATCCACGAAGATATCCCGTAAGTAGCCAGGAACACTGAACACTCTTACCTGCCCCTTGGCATCCTCAGGCATGGCTTTAATGTGCATTCTCTTTAAACAACGGATTACTCCATCATAAAACTGAACTGTGAATGTTCCTGAAATAGAGCAGCACAAGAATTACAAAGTATCATGCAACATTACAGCAGCACCTGGGACCTAATAGTGGAACAATGTATAAAGATGCTCAGTGTGCTGGAAGTGCTCCACTGAGTTACAAAATATATTTTCTCTCTCCATCTTTAAACAATTATGAACTATTAATTCCTTTAAAATATGCACAAATTAAATCCTGATAACTTAGCTGCATGTAACTTTGATCTTTACTGAAGAATTTTTGAAATTTATTGTATAAAGACATAAATATCTCTAACTTATTTCATAAAAATAAACCATTATTTACAAGTCCAGTATCTCTACAGAAATGATCATTAGTTCTCTTCCAAATGTTACTTTTAAGTAACTTTTTTTTTTAATGTAACAGAAAGATCTGATACATAATAAAGATAATTTTCTCAGGGAGATTTACAATAATAGTGAATAATAGTGTTAAAGTGGCAAAAAGGAATATTCTCATATGTGAAGTTTAAGCTAGAAAATAATTTAAAAAGTATCAAAATAAAGGTTGTTTGAGAAGTTGAAGACCAAATGTTGTGACACTCATCTAAGTGGCGGTATAGCCATTTCTACCATGCTAAGCAGTCATGGTCCCTTCCTGCATCTATCTGCCAGCAAGTCAATATCAAACAGGGTTACTAGAAAAAGCCTTAATAAAAGAAGTACAAACAAGAAATGTGAGCATTATTATCCCAGGTATAAAGCTGACTCCAAAGTCAATGGCATATATGTAAAAAGATTTTTTTCTTTTCTTTTTTTTTTTGTTGTTGTAACCTGAAAATTACAATTTGATATTACATTTTCACAAAACTAATATAATTTTATAAATATTGTGGAGTTCTAAATATAGGTTCGAACTTAAATGATTAAGTGAGCAGCAGGATGAAAAGCCAATGACAAGATTTTAAGAATGCCTAATTGTATACCTACCTTGCACTATCATTCCTGCAACTGTTTTTTCAATGCCTTCTTCCACATGGCATTCCTGGTAGGCCTATGTTGTTTGTTTAGCCACTAGCTAGACCTGTTCCTCCAGCCCTTGCTCATGCAATTTCCTCCATCTGGATGCTTCCCTGTGTCTCTTAACTGCCTCTAACTCTCACCACTGAGGACTCTAACCCACATTTCCTACCCTCCTTCCTTTACTTATTCTTTGAAATGCCATATGTGGATACAATGTATCCCAACTACTTTCTTCCTCAAACTCCACCCCCATAACTTCACTTTCTCCCAACCTCATGTCCTCTTTTCTTTTTTTTTAAAATAACCCACTGAATCTAACTATTGAAGCCTGTGTGTGTGTGTGTGTGTGTGTGTGTGTGTGTAGGCTGCTGAGGGAGAAAGTAATCAATGGTCTTACCCTACATGCTTCCACACTAGTCTACGGATAAGATGTGCTCATCAGTGCTACAGTGACAAGGTGATAAGACTACATGGGGGGGGGGGGGAGTAGGTAACCAACCGCTCTCTTGATGGGATTTGATGGGATTTGAAGCCCTTCCATAGGTTCATGCCTAGTACTGAAAACATGGTCAAGATTTATAGCCAGAAAAATCAGACTCGGGGAGGGTACTGATGTTTTGCTAAAAGGTGTTTTTAAACTGACTTCTCAATATTTATGTTTATATTCATGTTCTCTCTTCACTTGTGTGAGCTTCATCACAAATATGTAAATGTCCATTTTAGCTTTTACAATGAACTGGGGTTTTCTACTACTCCTGTGTGTTTTTTCTTTGGAAGAAAAAGGCAAGTTCATCCACCATGTAGGACATATAGAAATCAAAATTAACACTTCTATTAGAGAGTTAAAAAGATATCTAATGACATTTCAGTAAAGACTTGGTAGAACTACTACAGAAATGGCAGTAGTCATAGTACCAGTGGTATCACATTTCTATTAATGTAAACTTTAATTTTTTTGTATTAAAACGTGGATAAATAGAATAGGATAAACGATGACAGCACTTTGAGTATAGTGTGTGTTTGTGCACATCCACAACTGTACAGACACACGTTTAGGATTTAGGGCAAGTCCTAAAGTACTCCATAGTCAACACAGCTGATGTATTTGCAGAGCATTTTGTGTGCTTTTACTCTGTCTGGTTTGGGATGGGTCTTACCTCCCATGAAAACAGATTCAGGTGTTCGTTCTGCCCACACTGCTACTGACCACCAACTCTCTGCTACTCTGCTATGCTCTGGACCAGACATTAAAGAGTGCCTAGTGTGGTGATAACCTTGCTTGTACAAAAAAAAAAAAAAAAAAAAAAAAAAAAGTCTGTCTGAAGGTCAGAGAATGGAGCTAGCCACTAGCTAACCATAGATGTCTGGAGGTCTGCACAGACAGACAGGAAGTGAGAAAGCTGGGTGGAAACGGGATATAAGCAGGGAGCAACAGTAATTTGTCTGCTGAGAAGCAAAGGTGTTAGGTGGGTGGTGGTTTGCTCCTTTTCTCTGATCTCTCAGCATGTCCTCTGCATCTGACCCTGGGTTTTTATTATCTAAACCAATTAAGAACTGCATTTACAGCCCAGGTACAAGATGTAAAGCACTCTCTCTCTCTCTCTCTCCTCTCTCTCTCTCTCACTCTCTCTCTCTCTCTCTATGGAACACAGCTCCACAGAAGTGTAACAAAACCACAGTCCCACTGCAGCTATCAGCGGCTCCACAGAAGTGTAACAAAACCACAGTCCCACTGCAGCTATCAGCAGGTCTGGGATCTTTGGAAACTGTGGTTTATTTTTCACACAAAATTCCTTACATATCCTCCTAAATGTTTGCTGCTTCTGTTTTACCTTTTATTTCTTTCAAGCTTGTTTTTAGCTCTAATAGAAAGTTTAAACTTCCTCCATGACTTTTATCACTTCCAAATAAAATTCAAATCTTTTAGCAAGATTCTAAAGTCCTTCATGTATTGACCTTTGCTTCTGTTCAACCATTTCCCCACTATTCCATTCCAAACAGAACCCCTCTAGCTCTTCTTTCATTAGCTTATGTATATTTCACAACATAAAGGAAGTGTCCCCTGGGTAGAGCAAATGCCCTGACAAAGAAGCTATCACTCAACTGTGTAGTGTTCGTTTCTTTGAAAAAAGCAGTAAGTACTCAAGTTTACTATCTGTCTGAAAGATTTTGCAGGCTCATTGTTAATCTTACTAACACACATGATTTTTTAAATTTAGGTTGTGAAGTCACAATGTAACAAATGTTTCCGTAAAGAATACTAGCAGAAAATCCACACAGGACAACATAAAACAAGAAGAAGGCTCTATACAACAGATACCTTAATTGAAATTTAAAAATAAAGAAAATTATCTCCCCGTCCTATTTAAGTCTCAGGTCATGTCAAATGCATACCTTCTTTGTTAATTGCTTCAATCTTGGCAGGGTAATAGCGACAGTCTGTCCAACGAGCCAGAACTTCTTCTCCAGCTTTAAAATCCTAGTCAAACAACTTTTAAGATCAATTTCATATATAATAACCATTTAATTAACAAAAACAGGCAGCTAAATTTGACACGATCCTTTTAAAATGTCTTAATATATCTAGAAAAGCCTCATGGGAAAACCTTCCTACTTACAAAGAATTCTTCCTCATCCTTTAGGCCTTCTTTTCTTAGCGCAGGTCTTTCAAGGGGTCGCAACCTGTTGCTGTCCCAGTAAATCCACTCATCATAACGATGACTCCAACGCTCAAAATGAACTAACATTTTCCCTTCTTCATAATCAATTTTTTCAATTCGTGATGGATACCTCAAAAATAAAAAAGTTTCATTTCAAGAGTAATTCTTACATCAAGAATAAAGTTCTAAACAGAGTTTAAATAGGTACAACTTGAAAATATGAGGGAAAAAAGGCTAGTATACTACTAAACTACTGAACCCACAAAATATGTATCACTATTATCATTTTTAAATGATTTCTCTGAAAAGCTGAGAAAACAAACTTTCTAATACACCCCAAATGCAAAACATAAAAGCGCTGTACTGTATAAGAACCTAATGTGCTGACGTGGGTCAAGTGGTAAATACATCCCTACTTTTTTTGATTCAGTAATTCCAGTTCTGAAGCTATATAAACAATGTACCATTTACAGTAAGAAAATGGAAATAAAAGAAAATATGGCTGGAAATGCTGAAGACTTTCCATAATTACACAAGCAGTGGCTTATTTGACAGAATGGAGTACCAATCTTCAAATGTCACATTTCACATTGACAAAGTAAAAAACTAAATGAAGATTATACTTAGCATTGTATATGTATATCATGTTTAAAAACGATTTCGACATGTACAGTTGCTTCTTTTTGTGTGTATGTTCCTTTCTGTGTGTGCACACCTATGTATGCCCTTCAAAGGCCATCCACCTTGTTTTTCTCACCTGCAGCTTGTTAGATAAGCTAGACTGGCTGGACACCTGCCTATGTCAGCCTCTCCAGAGCTGAGGTCAGTTGTTGCACAGGTTTTAGTGGAAGAACTCAAGACTTCATAATTTCAACTGACTTTTATCACTAGAATATACATCTACTTGCATTTGGTGTCAGCACATATTTTATTTTCCTATATTCTATAATAAGAATAGATGCCAGGAAGGAAGAGTCCAAGACTGTATACTTAAAAATCTTTGGTTGTTTTTCTTCACAGGTAGATTATCGTAGGATCAATTTCAAAGTTAAAAAAAAAAATTCACTTAATTAGTCCTAACATACATTAAAGTGTCCACTCAGCTATTTAATCTCCATACATGACAGTTGATTCAGCTGTGATAGTTTATCTCATGTTTTTTCAATTTTAAAAATAAATTCAATACTTTGTTAACATAAAGCCATCATATAACTTTGAGGTTATCACTTATTGTATAGGTCAGTCGTGTAGTTTAAACACAGTGAGCTTCCCTAACATGGTTTCTTAGCTTTGTAGCATGATACTGAGCTGTTACACGATCCCTTACATACACCATGCTCCTTCACCCACCCAGTCACACCTCTCAATGCTCTCCTTCTGGCCCAGCGTAACCTGACCTTCCTGTCCTTTTTATTCTCATTGTTCAACATGCAATGCTCACATCTGACTTCCTAGACTCTCTTTTCTGTTGCCTCTACAGGATTCCATACATTAAGAGCCTCTCTAGTTAGGCTACAAAACTAAGTTCCAGTAGTGTTCTTATCAGCAGAGGCATTTATGTGTCCCAAAAGTTTCCACCATCCAATAAGCTGGGGAAATACTAGATCATAAAATTAAATTACTTCTTGCAAACTTCTTGCTGCTGTCAGCAAATGGAGATAAAGCACCTGACTTGACCAAACAGGAAAGATGTAGGCTGTTTTATCTCAAAATGTTTAACAAATCTAGAGACAATGCACAGCTAAGGATCACGATGCTAGAATATTGTTCTAGCCTATGAGCTCTGAGTGGAATTAAGACTTGTCCTTTATCAAAGCCCCAGCATCTGGTGTAGCCATAACACACAAAAGCCATAACACACAAAAGCAGTTTTTATCAGGAATGTCAAGTGATAGAAAACAGTCTTCACATTTCCTAAGAATTATGGGGGCTGTTGGCTGACTCTAACCTTAGTCTTCAAGGAGAAGTGGATATGGAAACATTGTTACAGAAAAACATCAAGCCCAGAAAACTGAGAAAAACATACTTTTGGGCAGACATGAATACCCAGCCATCTTTTGTAGTCTTACCCTTGTTTTGTTGCTCTCATTTTTAAACATGGAATTATCAAGCTGGACGTGGTGGCAGGACGTGATGAACGCACACCTTCAGAGGCAGGTGGATCCCAAGTGAGGCCAATCTGGTCTCACAGTGAGTTACAGGACAGCCAGGGATAGATACACTGAGATACCCTATCTTGAAACAGCAAACAAAATATTACATATCCAAAATAAAAAATTGTCCCAGCATACAGGGAAACTCTCAAGAGTCCTATATTTTTAACATTACTAGCCATTGAAGCACTATGAAGAGATCTTTCTGTTAATTACAAAAAACAAACAAAAAAACCTGAAAATCTCTCTCAAAGCATAAGAGCTTCTAACTTCACTTATCACATCACTCAAATTTTAAGCAAAATCCAAGGGCTTTGCTCTCTAGGTTCCTTCAAATTCCAAATGTATGGAACATTATATATTTAAAACATTCTTCAAAGTGAGAAGACACCACAGTAACAGAGGCACATATATTTCTATTTTCATAACATGATTCAATTCAGTTAAAAAAAAAAGCAGAATCTGAATGAATTTAAATAATATAAATGTAGACTGTTATTTTTAAACAACTTATGGTTTTCCTAAAATATTTTAAATTCTTTTGGCTGAAAGGATGCCTGAAGCAACAGCCTGCACAAAATACATCTTGGGGAACTTCTTCAGGGTAAGTTACAGCATATCAGAGTCTCTACATAAATGCCTAGAGAATGATATGCATACCTATGCTACTGCCAAGAACTAAATCAATGCAAATGCACAGGATTATAATCTATTTTATTTTTCACAAGTTTTACCAGTCAAATTTTAAAGGTTAAAGGTGTCAGAAATATTATCAAGAACGTCCAACATATACTTGAATGTAAAACTGGATGATTATTTAGTTCAGTGGCAGAGGGCCTGCCAATAAGAACAAGGCCTCAGCTCTGGTCAGCAGTACTAGGGACAGGCGTGGGCATGTGTGGGGAAATGCAACAAAGGAGTGAGGAGGCAGGGACTGCTGGTGGATTAACACATAAGTTAAGCTCAAGTCCATTACCATTCATCACTGAGCTCAGTTTGGAGCTGTCCTGTGTGTCACACTCAAGAGTCCCTGCTTGCTCAAAGTTGGCGGTTCTTTATAAATGCTGCGTCTTGGTTGCTGTTCATGTTATAGATATCATAATCTGCCCTCACAGACAAGGACTAAAAACTATACATAGTACAGACATTTCTCAGAGCACAGGCTGATAAAAAAGCCACTGCTCCATGTCAGCAGAAGTGTAGTTAGTCTGGGCTAAGACTGTATCTGAGTGGTTATAACAAAAAAAAAAAAAAAAAAAAAAAAAAAAAAAAAAAAAAAACCTTCTAAGTGAATAGAACACTTTATTTCACATGCTTAATTAATTCTGAGAACAACTGGAAGTTCACTGAAGGTTCCGAGGAAATACTGTCCATTTGAACTTGGTGGGACATTTGAAGAATTAAGACTCTGAGTACAAATGCAATGGATACAGAGGGTAGAGTTACTTAAAAATGTTCATTATTAAAAATGTTATGACTCTGAGTAAAACTATAGAAAATGAGGTCATGGAGGAAAGCAAGGTGTGTCATCTTTTCTGACGGCCACAGCAGTATTCCACTTGGCCAGCCTACATAATAGATGGTACAGTGAATAACGGGGAGCAGAGATCATTAAACTGGACTTAGTCTGTTTCAAACTTAAAGGGCTTTGAAATAGCAAGCAAATGAAATGACCCTTTGATCTCCAGAGCACAGGCTTCTATTTAATTTGGCCTTGGGTTACACCTTAGGAAGGAAAAGGCATACTAAGATTTTGCAACACAAGCTCAATTCCACACATGGCAATTCACATACAGTTCTATAATGCACAGTACTTCCTCTGTTCCAGCAGATGAGCCGTACTAATAATGTATGTTTTGATACACACCACAAAAAATGAGCAAATATATTCACAAATGCCTCTTTAAAGCATGTATTATTTTCATATACTAGTTATGCTTTACTATAATTGACTGTGAATCGAACATGAGATTTTCCTTCCTGAATTTGGAAGATGTGGTGCTAATGTTTTGTTGTTTCTCTCACTTTTAAAGGCTGAATCACAGAAGCAGTTACAGTAAAGAACAGTGATCAGGCTCAGTCCCAGACATTTATGAATGATTCAGGAAAATAGGACTTCAGAATCCATAGTGTCAGGTAGGATGCCACAATGACTAGAGACTTAAGAATTGCGATAGCTGCCAGCCTCATCTCAAGATTTAACAGAAAGAAATGAAGAGAAAGTCACCTAACCATAAGGGTGACTCCTCAATGCCAAAACCCTGTATAAAGCTCTTTGGCCCCTTATCGACTGCTGCTGAGAAATAAAGTGTTCACTATCTACCTTCCCCGCAAGAACCCCACCTCACAAGGGAGATGGCACAAACACACAAGGGTCTGGCCTACTGGGGTTGCCTGACTTAGAGAAACAGACGTTGCCTGCATTGTTCTGGATTAACTTGGCTTTTCTACGTCATATATTCTGGGTGCCTGCAAACAATAGTCTACTCAATCTAAAATGAATTATAAGCATGTGAACTGATATCAATAAAAAGTAACAAAAAAAAATTACTGAGAATCTGGCTTGAAAACACTTTTTGCTAATTTTAATTAACTTTTAGGATTGGTATTTGAGCCTTTCCAGGTCTAAGTTCTGTAACAGTAAGTTAAACCACAGCCCTGGCTACAAACACAGAAACACGGCTGGCAAACATAAAAACTACTTTTACCTTGTGGGAACTCTGAAATTTCACTGCCCTATCTAAATACTGTAATTTCAGCACTCTAACTTATGTTTCTAACCTGTGTAAGATTTGTTTATTTAGAACTGTAACTGGTGCTTCTAATGTATAACATTGTTCAAAGAGTAACGGTACCTATAGATTCTAGACTAGATCTATAATTCAGTAAGAACCAGACATTGGCTAAAGACATTAGCCCAAGTTAGCTGCTCCTGAGCAGCACCACTTCCCAAGTGCATTAACTCCACAGTGTTGGG